GCCGAATGGTACTTCAGGGTCTGTGGAGATTGAGGGCGCTACTGGGCAGCTGATATCTAGGCGTGGGCAAGCTGTGAAGTTAGTCAATGGCAAGGCTCGAGGTCTACAAGGGGGTACTTGGACCTTGAAGGGGCTATAGACCATTCATTCTAGATCTAAGAGATAAGATATTCTGGAATGTCTTTCAGCGGAAAGGGTCTCTCATCATTGAATACTCAGAATATTAGCAACCTGCGTCACATAGCATCATGCAGTTTGCCTTGACATCATTTCATGTGTATGTTTGAATTACCTCACAGCTGGATTGAATTCCAGTCGACGTAACACGGTGTCCGACAATATGATCCGGCTGTCTTTTCAAGCGACATGTGACTCAGAGCTTGTCTTCATCCCTCATCTCGATATCATCGAAGACTTTGTCTGTACAACCGACGTCATGGTGTGTCGGGGCCGTGGTGTCTTTTTTTGCCGATTCTCCCTAACGGGACATTTGAGTCACCGCTACCCATCAACTCTACTTTTCATTCTCGTCAACTACACTCCTTTCCATCTCATCTACAGTTCCAATCATCTTTGCAAGTATCTACAATCCTTCGCAAGCAAGCATCATGATTTGGACTAATTGCACGATGTACCCTCTAATCTACTTCTATCTCCTCAATCTTCTCTGTCTGGTCTCCGGATTCAGTCTGTCGCCCGGTGACTCGGTTATAATTCCTGGCTGGTATCTTCAGTCCTCGATTCAAGCCCGAGAAGAAGCCAGCAAGCTCTCGCAGCCTGATGCCACGACGGACTCATGGCACCGTATCGGGTCGCGCAGCACCGTCATGGCCGGCTTGCTTCAAGCTGGGGTCTACAACGAGACCGATCTCTTCTACTCGGACCATATGAACGGCGTCGATCTATCCGACTTTCAGTCCCCATGGCTATACCGTGAAGAGTTCGGCCTACAGCCCCTACCTAAGGGCGACCATCTCTTCCTCATCACCCACGGCATCTCTTCCAAGGCTGATATTTACTTCAACGGCGCACAGGTAGCTTGGAGCGACTATCAGCAAGGATGCTTTGGCGGCCACCAGTATGACATAACGCCGCACGTCCGCTCAGGGAAAAACGCTCTTCTCGTTCAAGCCCACTCAACCGAATATTCTGTCGACTTTGGCCAAGGCTTCGCAGACTGGAACCCGGCGCCACCAGATAATGGCACCGGTGTCTGGCGCAATATCGAGCTGAAGCAGACAGGTCCTATTTCTCTGTCCCCGATTCGAATCGTCACCGACTTTAAGACCGCACCCAGTGAGCGAGTGCTGGTGACAGTCATCACGGATGTCACCAACCAGAACAATGTGCCCATCCAAGCATCCTTCCAAGGGATCATCGAGACGGAGCAAGATACTGGCATGCAGCAGCGGATCCCGTTTTCGGGCAGTATCCGGCTCAACCCCAACGAGCACACAACCATCTCATTCCCTGTGACCATTCAGAACCCCCAAATCTGGTGGCCTGCTGCGTGGGGTCGCCAGCCACTCTATGCGGTTCAGCTCAACGTGAGCACGCCTCAGGGGACAATCTCAGACCGGGCACCGCGCACAACCTTTGGTATTCGCCACGTAACCTCTCAGCTCAGCCCCGATAAGGATCTCTCATTCAGCATCAACGGTCATCCCTTCAATGTGCGAGGCGCGGGCTACGCACCCGACCTCTTCCTCCGCTTCGACCTGAATCGCGTCCGCACCATTTTCCGCTACATCCTCGACATGGGCCTCAACACTGTTCGGCTCGAAGGCAAGCTCGAGCACCCGGAGTTTTACAAGTTGGCAGACCAAATGGGAATCATGATCATAGCCGGGTGGGAATGTTGCGATAAATGGGAAGGATGGGACGTATGTCAACCCAACCCCACCGCCACCCCTCTTTCCAATTGAAACATTCATCTGTTCCCCCTTGTCATCACTTCACTAACCCCAAGCTTTCTCCAGTACAACCATGACGGTCAAGGCCACCAGTGGACCACAACGGATTACACAACTGCCTACCGGCAGATGTACCACGAATCCACCTACCTCCAAGCACACCCCTCACTCCTCGCCTTCATCCTCGGATCCGACTATTGGCCCGATGAATCCGCCAGCAGGCAATACCTTGCCGCGCTCCAACTCACAAACTGGACCAACCCGATCGTCGCCTCGGCCTCCGCCCGCGGCAACCCATCCGGCCTGGGACCCTCGGGCATGAAAATGCTCGGCCCTTACGACTGGGTGCCTCCCAACTACTGGACCTCCAACAACACACCCGGTATAACCGAGTCCGGGACTGCCTACGGCTTTGGGTCCGAACAAGGCCCCGGCGTCGGAACACCCACCTTGCCCTCTCTGACCCAGTTCCTCTCCCTTGCGGATCTCCACGCCCTCTGGAGTCACCCCTCGTCGGGATCCTATCATCTGTCCCCGCGGGGTGCCGGGGAATTCCACACCCGCAAGATCTACAACACCGCGCTGTTCCTTCGCTACGGGGATCCCACCTCTTTGGAGGACTACCTCCAGAAGACCCAGTTGATGGACTACGAAGCTACGCGAGCTGTGTTCGAGGGGTTCGCGATCAACCAAAATGCTGCCAGCAGCAGTAATGCTCGTCCGGCAACAGGACTGGTGTATTGGATGCTGAACAGCGCGTGGCCGAGTCTACATTGGCAATTGTTCGATTACTATCTTCGGCCTGCGGGGGCGTATTTTGGGACGAAGACGGCGGCGGCACGGTGTGAGCACGTTGCCTACGACTATGTGAGGAGGGAGGTGCGTGTGGTCAGTCTAAAGGGCCCCCGGTTGACTGGAGGGGGTAAGACAGGGAAGAGGGTGGTGGAGGTGGAATTGATCACCGCTGCCGATGGGAAGACGGTGGATAAGCAGGCGGTGGGGGTGGAGGAGACCGAGCCGGGGGCATCAATTCCCGTTGCCAACATGGCGGACGGGGTGAATCGTCTACAAGGAGTGGGGTTCTTGAGATTGTTGCTCAAGGATGCCCTCAATGGGTCAGTCCTCAGTCGCAATGTGTATTGGGTGACCAAGGAGAATGATGTGCTCGACTGGGGCAAATCGAACTGGTACACCACTCCGGTCTCGCGGTATGCGGATTTCACCGGGTTGAGCAACCTGCGGACAGCGAGTATGCTGGCGAGCGTGACCGTCAAGCAGAAGGGAGAAGATGGGTCGACTCTAGAGGTGACACTGGAGAACAAGGCCGATATCCCGGCTTTCTTTATGCATTTGACGGTTGTCGATGCGGCGAGCCAGCAAGAGAGCGAGGCCGGCGAAATCACGCCGGTCTATTGGTCTGATAACTATGTGACGCTGTTTCCGCGGGAGAATCTCAAGTTGACGGTGCAGACGCCGAAGAAAGATGGATGGAGGATGGTCATGTCTGGGTTGAATGTGAAGAGGAATGTGATTGCTCGAGGGTGAGTTGTGCAAGATGACTACTATGCTTTGCTGCTGCTGTAACAAAACATACTTTCTGCTTGATACTACATAGCTATAGGGGATGATTTCAGTGCGCTTGATGTTTCCTCTCGTCTCTCGTATTCTGTAGACGTTCATTGTTCGTAGCCATTGTATCCCATCGTATTCCACAGGAAAGGTCGTACCTGACCCGTGCCTGCGTCAATTTGTGATCACTGAAACGGCTGAGAGGATGCATATATTCTCCTGACTACAATCTGGATCCCTGACAACACATGGACTTGCAGCTCTCCTGCATACGCTGTATCTGGAAGGACTAGTCAGCGTTACCCCGTTTGACAGCTTGGGGTCAAGCCATCTAGTACATACCTTCACCCTTTCCAGATTATTATCCCTCTTCTATCACTTGCGAAGCACCCAGGGATCTCACTGTACCAGATCAAATAGTGAGGGAACTTGTGCCATAACTGATATCGTACGTAGACAAAGCTACAAGACTGACCAGGTTGCGCTATGCCCGCTAGCTTGCAACGAATCTATGAGGCCGTTGGTGCTGTTATAGAAGCATTGGGAAAGGGCCGGGCGCGGAGCGGCCTTACTAAACCGAGAATAGCCTACTAGACTAGGTAACCTGATCTCGAATCCATGATTATTTCAATGGCTTCCACCTAACAGCCATATTCTCTTGAAGGACACTGCGATCTGACATAAGAAAGATAAACTTTTGGGGAACATCCCGCCTTAGGTCTAAGACCTCGCGTTGATCCCTATATAGCCCCTCTGGTAACTGAGTGTCAAGTCGAATTCATAACAGTTCAAAACAGTCCGATTGCTTGACGTTCCAGCATACCAACCCAAGGTTCGGTGTGCTTGTGCTTCTGTCCCGTCACCCGAGCCAAGGGCCTTCTCGGTGAACCGATGTACATACAGAGTACACCCAAGGAAGCATGCCTGTCATTGCACAGGTGTCAGACGGTCATGATCTTCTACAAGAAAAAAAGCAGATCGGCTCCGACAAAGCTCAGCAATACTTCGGAAATTTCGCTCCAACCCCACATACAATGAAGAATTTTCTGTTGGACACGAAAGGTTTCTCGTGGATCGGATTGCCTGCCACCACTCCGGAGTCGCCGGGAAGGTGTAAAGTTGAAAGACATCTCCTGGTTGCATTGAAAAATCGGACCAGGGGCAGTGGGGTCGAGTCTGCACCAGATCAGGAAAAGTCGAATCCGGTCCCTGGAAACTCTGGGACCCTTCAGGGCGAGCCAAGAACATCAAGGCCTCGATTGGTATTAGTCGCCCTCTAAATTGGTTAGTAACATCGGCCAGTATCTACACGTAGACTAGAATACCTTTTAGTCTATCTAGTAGGACCCTTGGCATGCCCCAGTGAGGTGGGAACGTTGGCCGACAGGTCGAACAATCTTCCCAGCCCACTTTTATTTACTGCTAGGCTTTCTTAGTGCTTGTAGTCTAGCATGACCATACGGATTGGATCCATGACCACACAAAATGTGAGACAAGCTCATCATGACTCATAGATCGCTAAGATTCAATCTCTCTTGTGAGGCTCAGAGCAGCAATGTCAATCTCCGACCTCCGTGGGCTGGTTCTCCACTCTGCCTGCGCAACTGGAATGAGAGGTAGTCTACTAGGTACGTCGACCATTTTCTTTTCCCCTCCAGGGACTTCAAGTGAGGTCCAGTCCTGGGGAGGCCTCGATCAGTCCTATCTCCTTCTGAGACAAGAAGTTCAGATCATACAGAGCGGTAGTGTCTTTCATTGCCAACAAGACTGAAGAGGCTCATGTTTAAATCAGGAAGTTGACTTAGTTTGACTCCGTGTTCGGCTACTAACACTACCATCATTCGCGGTATCTTTCTGCTCTTTCTTCGGGGCAACTTTGGTTTTCCTAGCCGGTGCTCCCACCACCCGTGCTCTATAAGCCATTAAACCCGCCTCGGCATCTTCCGAAATCTGCGACCTGTTCGTGACGGTAGTGTGCTGCATGTTAATCCCCCACTTCGCCGCCGAAGGCGTACGACCGTCTTGTGCATCGGTAAGGAGCGTGAGTATCCGCTGATATGTATCTTTCATGCCAGAGCTCTCCGAACCTCGCTGGAACCGCGCTTCGGCAAGCTCCGTAGGGCTTCGATCACCAAATCTCGCGCACTCCGGTCGAGCCATCGGATCTGCGCCAGCAGCCAGTAGAGCCTCGATAGCCTCCTCATGCTCGAACAGGACCGCGGCATGTAAAGGCGTGCCCCATTCTGCGGAGGTCGTGGCATTCGGATCGAGACCCTTGGAAAGAAGGAATCGAGTCTTGATCGCCGAATTCGTGCCCCAAACAAGAGCATTAAAGAAGAGCCCGGAGTCCAACTTCGCCCCATACTCCACAAGCAGATCAAACACGGCTCCGCCGTCCTCGTGAACTTTACCGAGAGCGCTAACGAGGGGGCTTACTTTCCTCGGGCCGCAGCGGTTAGGATCAACGCCTCGCTCGAACAGTCTGAATTGAAAAAGCTATGGCACACAGGCGTTAGTCTGGAAATTGCAACGAGCCCCATGTGATGACAGTCATACCGTAGAAGAGGCTCGCCTTTGGGTGTGGTGCATTTCTTCGGTTTCAGGCCACGATCGAAGAAGAGTCGAATAACACGCGGATCCTGCTGGCCGCCATCCTTCCCGCAGAGGGAACCTACCGCGCCAGGTGTCATAGGCACGCCGGCATCAAAGAGTGCGGCCACGATGTGTGGATGAGCTTCAAGGGTAGCGAGTTGAAGCCCAGTGTCAAGTTCATCGGCAGAGAGTCCCCCGCTGGCAAGAGCCCTCTGAACATCTTGCAGGTCACCGTTGCTACATGCTCGCTCAAAGGTAATGTTTAAAGCGTCCTCGACGGTGTAAGGTGACATGGTGCGTAGAATGAGATAATGTGTGCGTGTAGAGGAGAGGCAGGCGGTGGTAAAAGCCGGAAACCCACATTTATTATTTAGTGGGAATCTTCGTAACTGTGTATCATGGATGTCATGTCTAGCTTACCTGGAAGGACGGACATTACTCCCACACTTGGCATGGGTCGGTCTTGGCATTGGTTTGGAGATTTGCAGTGCCAAGATCTCCTTTCGTATAAATCATAAATACTTTGTCCTGGCAAGGGTTGCCTACTGGCACTGTGGATCCACGCTATAACAATCCAATCTGTATCAAGCCTAGTATGTTCGTTGTAAGAGGGAGCTATGATAGCAAATATGGCTGACTCTTATGAACACCGCCTATATGACTTTGGAAGCCTTCTCCACTTAAATATCAATTTACCTTTACTTATCTAGATATAGTTCTCCTCAGTGCACAGGATTTATGTACAGAAAGAGTAAAGTCTTACCAAGTCCGTTATATTACAACAATAACAATATTGTATAAGGATCCCCAGGGTCTCAGGTGAGTGAGTGGCTGGCTCCAACCAGAGATTTCAGGGACCGCTCGCATGACTATTGCTTGATAAAACAGTGGAAATGAAGACGACAGCCAGAGTCGCTTAGATCCGTAGAGACCTGACGGACCTCGCAGGCGAAGATCAACGGAACAGCTGCAAGATAAGAAGAGTTCTATAAGGCTCCATGACTTACTCGGTAGGGCTGGCTGCGCCAGACTATAGTTGAGCCGGCCCGGGGCAATTCAATGACCCCTGTATCGGCCTGTATAATACTTAAATCAAGATTAGAACCACTGGTAGACCGTCCTTCGACTCTATTACCTCTATAGCCCGCTGACATCCATCCAAAAGGTCTAGGTGAGACTAATCGGTCCTTATGGTCCAAGGGTTTGATACTATCGCATCCAACCGACCGACCACCTTCACCCCGCCCCGCTGCTCAAGACCGGAGGAGCATCTCAAGTATAGTCCTACGCGAAGCCAGCAGCTGAGGGTTCCTCAGCCGACGCCTCTCGGCGACTTTCGAGGGGCTTTGGTCAGCGAATTGCCTGCAACGCACCCTCGCCGCGGGATCCGCGCCCGCCTCCAGCAGCACCCGCACGACCTCCTCCTGCGCAAGAGAGACCGCCCGATGCAAAGGCGTGCCCCATTCCGGGGAGGTCGTGTTCGGATCCAGCCCCTTCTGCGTCTTGAACCCCCCCCCCCCCCCCCCTCTCCACGCGAGCAGACCGCCTCGAAGAGCAGGTCCGCCTCCAGCTTCGCTCCGTGTTCGACGAGCAGCTCGAAGAGCGATGTGTCTTCGCAGACGTATTCCAGAGCGCAGGCCAGGGGCGTGACGCCCCTGGGCCCGCGGCGGTTGGGGTCCGCGCCCCGCAAGAGTAATTCGCGCGCGCAGGCGGGGTCTTTCAAGAAGCTGGATTCCCTCGGGTGCTTAGTTAGTCGTGGGGGTTTTAGAGGCTAGAAGATGCGAGAGCAGAGGGGGGGTGGGGAGTGGGGGGTGCTGGGCTGGACGTACCGCAGAAGAGGCTCGCCGTTGGAGACTACGCTGTTGGGGTCGAGGCCGTGGTGGAGGTAGCATCGGACGATGCTCGGGTGCTGATGGCCGGATTTGCCGGTCAGGAAGCTCGCGGAATCGCGGGTGACGCGGGCGCCGGCGGCGAAGAGCGCGGTTACGATGTCTGGGTGCGCTTCGCCGGTGGCGAGGTTGAGGGCCTCGTCGAGGTCCGTGGGGCTGATGAGGCGCCCGCTTGCGAGAAGGGCTTGGGTTTGCGGGAGGTTGCCCTCGAAACAGGCGTCGTGGAAGGCGTCGATGAATGGGTTGTTGGGGGCCATGGGGTGTTTGTCTGGAGGAAATGGGGTTTTGAACGATTGGTCTGGGAAGTTGGGTCATTTTGAGTACGTACTTGGTTATGGTTAGCTAAGTGAATAGTCAACTCATTTACCATGGAACCCGCTGCGTTGGCTCCTGATGTGAAGATCGAACCGGTACAAGTGGAGTGGTTTGGTGGAGCTTGTCCCCACCATGCGTTCCACTCCCACCGGACTTGAAGTTTACAGTAGAGGAGACAGGTGGTTTGGATACGTTAGGTATGTATGCTCTATGTCATTCACATCGGTTGTATCATAAGGACGATAGTTCTTCCCTGTTCACTCTCTGCAAGGTCATGATAGATCTTGATGATTGTCGCATTGATAGACATAATCGACGGTCACCCTGCACCCATCTTTTCGATGGTACGAGCCGCAATTCTTACAGCCGCCGATGTTGCGGATATTCTGGTAGGCATTCCACATCTCGTTCCCGCTGATACTGCAGCTTTGACCTTGAATGAAGACACCACAACCCTGGGTCAGATCGCCCCAGCAGTTTCCACTCTGATTGCTGTAGACGCTATCACTATAGTCAGAGATATAAGGTCAGGACTCGCGTCAGCTATAATTATGATGGATGACTCACTCAATCACCTCGGCCGAATGATAGTCTATCTCATCGTCTCGATACAAGTTATTCGCAGCGTGATCGCACCACTTCAACAACTCCGGGGTGGTACACATGGACGAGCCCTTGCAGTCATAGTCGGACGGGTCTGGCTCGAAGGCGTTAATCATGGGGTTGTAGCCCTGCGCCTGCACCACAAACTTGCTCGTATCAACAGCCGACGTGCCCAGGGGTAGATTCCACGTGTAAGTGTAGCCACTGATATCGAGCGTGACGGTGTCGATCACCTCCCAGGACCACGGGGGCGCGGTGGACCCCGTTACAAAGACCCCGTCGTAGCGGTAAAGAGCCGTGCCATCCACCATATAGTGGGTGCAGACGTAGGTTTCCACGTTGAAATTGACACCCCAACCTGGATCCTCGTCGAAGTCGCACTCGATCGAATGCCAGATGTAGAGGCGGACGGAGGAATAAGGCACCAGCACATCAGCCTCAATGACCGTCGAGTTCTCCCGGGGAGATGACTTGTAATTTGTTACCGCCCTCCCACCCGGTAGTCGTTTGGTGGTCACGGTAACCTGGTTCGAAGACGAACCCAGTCTGCCGCCTTCTCCTACGGCACTGACGTAGAACGTGTAGCTGGTTCCGGATGCGAGACTGCCGATTGTCACTTCGGTCATCGAGCTGGGAACGCTGGCAGCAAGACTACCACTGGCATACACATGATACCCCTGAGCATTCGAGGCCGCAGCCCAAGATAACTTCGCCGAACTGTAGTCTGAGGTCATCACTGTCAGTTCTGTCACGGCTCCCGCAGCGCCGTCCGATTCCCAAGCGACTGCACCCGCGTTTGACAGCGAGCCACCGTCAATGCCATCCATCATACTTTGGATGTACGAGTCCGCGGGAAGAGTGTCGTATGGATTGGGCAACATGTCATCGGTGAGCTGCAAGAAGCCCGCCCCGCGCTCTTTGGCTAACTGGACTACTTCGCTAATGGCAGACTTGGGCACGTTGTACACGGTGTGCCATAGCTTCCGCGGATCTCTGGGATTCCAGTCGTTAGGTGTGTAGTTGTCAATGTAAGAGTCGTAGCTCTGCTCGAAAGTAAGGAGGGTGTCCATGGTATCCTCAAAGCAAGACGCCATGGGTGACCCAGGGTTCAGGACCGTGTACGCGCTGGGGTGAGCACGCTTTGTATAGGCGTTGATATACTTGTACAAGTCCACGTATTCATCGTTGATGCCGCATTCAGGCCAGCCTTCATCGAAGAATATGCCGCCAATGCTGTCGCCATACAGCTTGTACCACATATCAACATCTTCCTCAATTTGAGCTGTCCAATCTGCCAGGTTGCCCGAGCCCAGCCGCGTCTGGAATACCTGGTCACTCAAGCCCAGGTATCCGGTGCGCACATAGCCGAGAACCGTTTTGCCTGCAGATGAGGCTCGCTCGATCACACCTTGCCAGCTCGGGTCAACGGTCGAATCTGGACCGTTTAAAACGTTGGCTACCAAGATAGGCATTTTGCTCACATCGTAATCGATCAGCCTATCCCAGGCGGCCGGATCACTTAGGGGATTGATGTACGATGCGACAGCAATCTGTTGCCCTTGAACAGTCGACAAACACCCCGTCGCATTTGGGGCGAAGGGGGTCACTGTAGTGATCATGGTGGTAGTGCGCGCGTTCTGCGCGTCACAGCTTGAGACGGTTGAGTACGTAGGCGCGCAGGTGAGTTGAGGAATTGAGGGGTTCAAGGCTAGACTCCACATTCCAGGCCATATTGAGCCGCCATCTGCGCTTGGCACACCATTGCGTTGGCATCCTCCCTGGAGAAATATAGATAAAATCACATTGTTGGATTTGATGGTCTCTTAATATGATATAACCACGCGAGGCTGAAGGCTCCAGCAGCGAAACCATGGAGATGAGCAGGGCTGCAAGTAGTCATCCCGAACGAGCGCCCACCGCACCACTGAACTGCGGTATTCAGATCTGCCACAACTTCCACGACAGACCACGGAAAATGTCCTTGGTTTATGACAAGACATTCAGATCCACCATCGCAGCCCGAACTCACTGGCGAGGATATTCTCCGCGCCGCAGACAATGTTGCTTACGTTCAGCGAGCGAGTCTGAAGGCAGAAGAACGAGAAGAACGCAGTGCTTTGATTGCCGCTGGAGAGCAGCGGCTTAGGGCGAGAAGCTGCCGTAGGGTCCCATGGAACGCCCATGTTTTCTATGCTCAGTCTCCATGGGCCCTGGGAGCCTCAGGGAGAACCGAAAGCCTTTCTCGGCAAGCGGTTCGGATGGATCGTTCTAGTAATGACTGGGTAGTTATTAGAACCACATAGTGCAGTACCTGCAGCCTAATAAAGCCCTTAGCGAGGAGGCAACTAGACTTAGAGTGCAGAGGGAGGTTTTGAAGTTAGCAGTCAGACAGTAAGGTAGTGGGTAGGTACGGTGCATGTAGCTAGTGAGTCAATGTCCGAGAATTCTTCCGGTCCTGGTCTGCTTCCAGCCTGAGTACCTACCTAACCACTGATCCCTAATCTATTGACCTAGTGCTCTCCTCTATCCACCCCCATCACAAAATCTCAGGGCATCTGACCAATTGTTTACATTAAGACAGTGCAAGATAATTGCATCGATATATTGACCGTCTCTATGCGTTGATATCCTGTCGTAAGCATCAATTCTGCCTCGTTCCGAGTAACTGGGTTGGATGTCGGAAATCGTGTGTGCATCAGACTTGAATTCTCTTCACGAAGACTAGTGTATCTGTCTTCAGACCGGTGATGTCGCTTATGGCGCAGGTGGAGGATCAACATAGTGGGTCCTCTATTACTAGCCGGTGCGGCGAGACAGGCACTAGAGGTACTAGTCTCCACAGTCAAGTGAAAGCGACTTTACTCGGCCCAAGACCGAATCGTTCAGTTGTTTCACTACAACCGCTGGTGAGTCAGTAATTGACCAACTTTGTTCGTCATAGCAATAGTGTTGAGTCTGACTTCCTGTGGGAGATTGCTGACCTAAATGCGCACAGTATAGTTAAAAGACTTCAAGATTTGTAATAGTTACCATTCACTTTAGCCTCGTATGTTTCAATGATGGGACCGCCTCCACAAACAGATTTGCAAGCACCCCACATCACTGACCTATACAAGCGGCGCGTAAAGCTCTCGCCGACTATTCCTCCAGTTCATGGCCTGGGCAGAGCCGATCGTGCATCCTGGCATACAGGGCGCGCAGATTCTGCGGCGAGACGACGAGCACGGGTTGGATGAGGTGGTCCCGGGGCCCGAGGCACTTCTCGGCGAGCGCGCGCGTGGTCAGGCAGAGGGCCTTGATGGTCGCCGGATCCAGGTCGGTGAGGACCTGTTGGAAGATTTCGGGCGGCAGCTCATGCAGTTGTCTGCCCTTGGGCTCATGGCTGGACATCCTGATGAAGCTGGCTGAGGTTGTGGGTTCCGATGGTAGTAGGCCGGTCAACAACACCCGGTAGACAAGACACTTTATATGAGTAAAGCGGTCGGTATTGGCAGAATTGAACTGCTGGACTGGTTCTCGAGAGTGCAGTCCATGATGGTACTTTTTCGAGGTTCTATCGGGGGAAGTACGGACTGGGAACTGCCTCAGTTGGACCAGGCCTATGACAACACTAAGCCTGAATTGGGGAGTTTATTGATCCAGTGAACCCTGGATCGAGGGCACGGAGTGCTCGGGTATTTCAGGTGGATCCATCAATACACATACTAAAAGTCTCGGCACACTGCCAGGTGGCAATTTGCTAGCACATATAACCCATGGAAACTCTTGAATGGGGAACAGATCTATCTGTTATATCGGCAGTCACTGTCTGGATTCCATGATTGAGGATCGAGGTACGGAGTTATGCATCTGGACAGAGAAATCTTCGACCAGGGTCTGGTATACTCCCAGGGCCCAGTGGAGCAAGGGCTGTCTCCGATGCAAGCTAGCCTCCTTGGGATTAGTGATACCTCATACCCAGTAAGTAGCCCCGCTTAGTACACATTGCTGCCTGTTGGAAGTGCAGTGGATGCCTAATGCAGTGACAGATCGGTAAGTGTAGGGTCTTTAATGCTACCTACTGTCCAACTTATAATCTTGCTATCTGGATGTTGATAAGAAATGATCTCCAGGAAGTAGACCACTTGGAAAGTTCTTAACTACTATACCAGCGACGGCCTACAGTACAAGACCTTGTCGACGACCTATAAGAAAAGTAAAATGATAATCTACTTTATGTAATGAGGTTACCACTGGAGGGGGAGAAACTCTTCAAGTACGATCCGATTACTCTATTGGGAGGGGCAAAACACAAACATGGGCTATGTCGTGGCTTGAATGCCAGAAGACGCTGTACCACTCAGATACATGGTAAATGTGGAGTTGTCCTGACGCTATTTCTTGTGGCTCTCGCAAGAAGATCTCCTGGAACATGGGTGTTGTTGTGGATGGCAACGTGCGTGGGGGTTTAGGTGCTATACATGGTACTCTTTGGTGGATCGGGATTGCCAGGCTTATGAAGACATTCAACCTAGTCTTCATGGATGATTCCTCCCGCGACTACTCGATTCAGCCGCGATGTGTCCTGCCTTTTAGGGTTAAATTGTAATATTTGGCTTTCCGGCTCAGTTCAATCGGCACAATCTCAATGGCTTACTTTATTCGGTAGCTACATTGCATAACATGTACATGATTCATCTAAGTATATAGAGTACAATTATCGTGGTACAATGACGATTCTGCTTTCTGCAAGTACTTCATATGCCTTGACCCTTGACTGATGGAGATGGCCAGGGTTTTGTAGAACCATCTCAGCACTGTACAGAGGTAATTCGCTTGGCTGAATGGCTGTAAACAACTTGTTCTGACTGAGGGTCTCAAATAATAAACCATGCCATTAACCTGTGGGACGCGCGTACAGTTGAATCCTAGAGTTACTCCAGCGCATAAGCTCAGGGGAACCAAGGGCTCGTCCAGGCGCTTTTCTAAGCGGCCGGAACACCAGTCCTTTGGCCAAGTCCTCGCGGGTGAAGTCCCTGGTGTGCACAGCTAATCCATTGGAATGCGAGTAGCGTGTCCACTGCGGTGGCCAATTTGTGTCCCAGACTGGCAGCAGGACTACCATCCCCTTGCCCTCCTGCTCGTCATCCTTTGCTTCTTGCTCACGAGTGGGATCGAGTAAAGCATGTCCCCTTGACTGTGCATACTTCAGGTTCTGCATATGTCTCCCAAACAGGTTCTTAAGGCTGAGATTCTCCAGCATTGGCATAGAACGCTCCAAATGAGCAAAGATCGGGGTCCATGACCCAGAGGTCAGGTGACACTCATGCAGCGTCAACGAGCGCAGGTTGGAATGCTTTTGGAGAAAGAGCAGCAGGGACTGTCCTTTGGCCGCGAATCCCGACAACCCACATTTTTCCAACAATGGCAATTGGGTTTCATGAGGGACAGTGTCGACGATCCTATCGTAGTAGTGAAATAATTCTTGTCCATATGCAGTGCGCCGGAATGTTAAGTCCAGCTCTCGAAGAGCTGGTGCGGATTTGAGGAAGAGTGATGCTATCCCGGGTGTTCCATCCTCTAGCACGGGCTGGGGATCCTCTCCTTCTTCTTCCTTTTCTTCCTCTTCCTCCTCGTCCTCCTCGTCCTCCTCGTCCTCATCTTCCAGCTCATCTTTAAGAGAATCCTCCATAGCCATGGAAATACTGAGCTTAAGCGATATCAGATCCTTGCCGAGTATTTCCAGCTGCCCTGGGCCCAGATCCAATGCAATATCGGTGATCTTGTCAATCGGAATACAGCATTTATCAGTATCACGAAAGATATCAAGGCTCTTCACCGAGACCCTACTCTGCACCATTGCTTTCAAAACCCACGAGAGGATTTGCGAGGCTCGCGCCCAGAGTGGCTGCCAGTCTTGAGAATTGGGCGCCTTTCTCTCCGTCCGACCGCGGAGGACCCCGCCATCAAAGCGGATGACATCCACGGTTCCAAACAATTTGAGCGCGAGTTGCAGGATCTCAACCATCTCGCTCGGTGACTCCTGATCTCTGGCCTCTTGCTGTTCATTGAGCCAGCGCAGATCAGATTTGGCCTTTTCCAGTTCCTCGGGCGTGAATTTGGCTGTGCTCCGGGAAGTAACGTATCCATGCTTGTTGAGTTTCTCCACTCTGTACCACCCAGATTTGATGTCCTTGTCTAACCCAGAAGGCTCCATTGTTATGGCAAGGGATGTGAGCGAGTGGATCTTCTTGCTGAGTGCAGGAATGCGCGCCAACGCATGCAGAGAGCGAAGACTCTGCGGTGAGACATCAAGAACAGGCTGTTGGATGCACCTTTGGAATCGGGGTCCGATGCACCTCTCGGCCAGCTTTCGGTCGACTAAGCGGAGAGCCTTGATCGATTCGAGGTCCAGGTGTGTGAGGGTTGACTCGAAGATCTCAGGGGGCAACTCGTGCAGTCCGGTGCTCCGCGCTAAGTCGGACATGTTGATGGGCGGGTCGTATGAGGTTCAAGGTAGGGAAGTCAGAAGTAAGTGTTGAATGGAAGAAAAACACTTGGGAGCGGTTTGAACTGGCAGAAATGAAGCATCAGATGTCTTCTACCTCATTTAAAGAATGCTATTTTGTTGATTGAGTTCAATGGACTAATTAGGAGGTGGCTCACTTGGACCAGGAATACAAGAACACTAGGCCTCAATTGTGGGCCTGGTTGGTTTAGCGAACCCTGGATCATGTTACAAACTTACAATGTACTTGGGTATTTAGAAGCGGATCCACCAATACATACATGTACATGTACATACAGTCATACACATACATCTGATCGGGTCGCCGGCAATAGAGTGGAGTAAAATGTGTCGGGCTGGTAACATGCCGACTCGGGATCTACTTCACTTAGACAATTGTTGCCTGTTCGGCTGAAGTTGGAAGTGAATGCCTGATTCAGTGACCTCAAGTCTGCCAGTACTTGGATATGTGTAGAGTTGAGTGCTCCACTCAATTGTACTCTGCATCAGCATTACTTGTTTATATATTATGATGTTGTAGTAAGGAATGTCGGGGCGTTCCGCCTTCCTTTTGGGAAGGTCAGGCGTTCTACCTACTCTACTCCGTACTAGACTACCTACGGTTTTACATGCAAAATTCATCCTCAACTTCATGCCCTCCATCTCCAGTAATCAACTATCTCTCAAACAAGGATATATCGAGGCTCTCAAAGAGTCAGTTAACTTGATCTTGTAATTGTCTGTGGTCAAGATCTACTTAGACATCCCAGCTCCCATACAAGCACGGTATATTCAGGTTCAACCTGACTACAAAATACAACTACATTTTGTTTCCAGTGGTCGGTAAGCCAGAAATCAAACCTCAACACAGTCCGAAAGTTGTATCTATTATATACAACCCGGATCGAAGAAAATGGCTTACAGTGATAGATAAGCATTAGTTATAGTCCAAGAACTTTAGCGTCATTAGCGCAGAGTAAGCAGCAATCAGCCTCCAACGCGATTGCGACATGATCTTTCTTCCGTGTTTATCCCTCGACCAAAGATCTACAGCAACCACAACAGCTTCAACTGCATCTCCCCAGCCCTAACCATGGAGTCCCCCAGTAAGCCCTCAACACCCCAGCCCATCCCGCCTCTCATCCCCCGACAACCTATCTAACCCAAACAGCCCCAAACCCACCCACCCTCCTAACCCTCCCCCTCGAACTCCGCCAAATGATCTACACCTACCTCTTCATCACCCAGCCCATCACCATCCAACACAAACCCATTCCCGCCCAGTGCAGCATCGACAACCGCCCCCTCTGCCGCAACCCAGAAGCCACCACCACCACCCTCAACAAATCCGGGTACCAACCCAGCTACGCCCTCCTCCTAACCAACCGCCAACTCCACCACGAAACCCACTCCTACGCCTACAGCGCCCCGCTCTTCCGCACCCAGCAAACCGAGGCATTCGCCAACTTCACCAGCTGCCTCACCCGCCCCCAGATCCACGCAATCCGGCACCTCGCCTTCTTCCTCCCGCTCGCGCAGGGCATGGAAACGCACGCCGCGGACTGGCACGAGACCTTCGCCTTAGTCCGCCACGCCTGCCCGCACCTCCGCTCCGTGTCCGTCGAAATGGCGCTGGCGTTCCCGGCGGCCAGCGGGAAGGACACCTATTGGGACGGGGGGTTGTTGGAGCTGGATCGGCTGCGGTCGCTGCGGGGGATGCGGGTGATTGTTTACGGTGGCGATGTGGCGGCGGCGGAGGTCGAGAAGAAACCTGAAGAGCCTTTCTTCCTGTATGAGGCCGGGACGCTGCATCCGGCTGCATCGGACATCCGGGGCAGGACTGTGGCGGCGGCTGCTGCGGCTGGTACTGGTACTACAGCGATAAGCTTCCATCACGCGCGGGACGCTCTCCGGCGGAGGCTAGCCCTAGCCCTAGCCCCCTCCAACCCCAGTCCCGATGACAACGAGGAAGACCCCGGCCGGCTCTTCTTCCGCCCCTCGCCGGACATCTTCCCCCTGTATGTCCGGAATCTGACGGAGATGCTGCTCCGGCGGCGGCGATCGCATGCCGAGATCCGCGGGGAGGATCGCATGCAGCGGAACGAGATCTACCACTACGTGTACCTGGATGAGAGGCCGTTTGAGAGGGGTCGGGTCTTTGGGTTTCAGTACGGTAGGAGTGTGAAATTGGAGGAGAGGGAGCTTGAGCGCGCGCTGGAGGGGCTTCGGCTGGCGAGGGAGCGGTTGCGTGTGCGACGTGAGAATGGAGAGCTGGGGGCTTGTACGCGTCCTGGGCGGGTGGCTGTGAGGGAGAGACATGGGCTACGTCAGGTTCATGGTGGGGAGGGTACGGGGGCTAGGGATGAGAGGCCGGGAGCTTGGAAGAAGCAGCTACTGCTGGAGGCGTCGGCGCCTTTGATTGAATCGTTCCCTGATTGTATAGCGCGGCCGTATCGGTCTGGGGGGAGGGGCTCAGGTTGATCGAGGGAGACGATTTAATGGGAAAGCACTTGGGGTTCGGTTATACTGGAGCTATTCTTCGATACATAAGGTCATTGTATACTTAGCATAGCCGTAGCTACCCCGAGCCCTCGCTCAGAACTGCTTGACCACCCGCTGAAACCGAGGGGGCTGCCTCATGAACTTCTCCGGCTCGTCTCGGGCCCCCTGCTTCCAGTAGTCGTACTCCATCCACGCATTCTCCGGCATCTGCGCCTCGGTCGCTTCCAGGAACTCGCCCAAATCTGGATTGAGAGGAATCACGCCGGTTTCCATGACGTACTGATCCCACAGTTTCAGTAGCTGCTTCAATCGATCGGGATGCCCCTCTGCCAGATCGTGGATCTCGCCGGGGTCCTCGACCAGGTTGTACAGCTGCCATCGCTCCGGCCCCTTCGGCTTCGGGATATAGACGATCTTCCAATCCCCGAACCGCAATGCCGCCCGGCCACACGTTTCCCACCCTTGGATGAATTCCTTCTCGTGAATGCGGGGACTCTCACCCGTAGCCCAGGGGTAGAACGACTTCCCTCGCATCGGTACGACCTCCCGCCCCTGATAGAGTGGTGCTGGATGCGTCACGCCCGCCATCTCCAGGATCGACGGGGCCAGATCCATGACCGTAGCGAATTGATCCGTGATACTGCCGTTCTTGACGTGGTCGGCCGTTTCGCGCACCGAGGCCGGGAAGCGTGCCAGGAAGGGCACATGCACGCCGCCTTCCGTCGTGTAGGCTTTGTACAATCGCGAGGGAGCGGTTGCGGCCTGCGCCCACCGTGGCCCGTACCAGATGAACGAGTTGTAGTTCCCCAGATTCTCCAGAGAGTTGTCATAGTACTTCTGCAGATGCGGCATCACGCCACTCTGCACCATCGGGTAGGCCTCGTACGCGGCCCCTTCGGCGCCATTATCCGACATGAAGCAGACGAAGGTGTTGTCAAGCTCGCCGATGGACTCCAGGTAATCCACCACCTTCCCAACATTGGCATCGATGCACTCGACCATCGCAGCGAACACCTCCATTGCGCGACACGACAACACCTTCTCCTCCGGAGTGAATTCCTCCCACGGCTTGACCTCCCCCTCCGCCACGACCGGATGCGCCTCCACATCCTGGCGGATCATGCCCAACGCCTTCAGCCTCTCCAGTCTCTTCTGCCGCAGCACATCCGGCCCCTCATCGTACACCCCGCGATAGTGCTCGATATACTCCCGTGGCGCCTGAAGCGGCCAATGCGGCGCCGTGAAAGGCAAGTAAGCGAAGAACGGTCTCCGCTGTTCTTCCCCTCCCTCACCACCATCCTCCCGCTCGTGCCATTCCCGCAGGTACTGGCACATCCGGTCCCCGTACCCATCCGACGAGTACCACCCCTCCGGCAACTTTTTCACGTACCGGTCATCCTCCATATGCAGTGCAATAAAGCTCGCCTCCAGAAACGTCGGGGTCTCATCCGCGCCCGCCAGCTGCGGCTCGAAGGCGTAATGATTCGAGCAGGCCGGGAGGTGCGCCAGCGACCGCTCGAAGCCCCGCTTACAGGGGGCGCGGTCCGGGGTCAGCCCCAGATGCCACTTGCCGGCCATGAGGGTGTGGTAGCCGGCGTCGCGGAGGAGCTCGGGCAGCGCGACCACCCGTTCGTTAAGATAGCCTTCGTAGCCCGGCATCCCGCGTTGCGGGGCGGTGGACATCTGCGACCCCTTGGGCCCGTTCTGGCCGGTGATGTTGGTCCACTCGATTAGGTTGCCGAGGCCCGCTATGTGGTGGTCCGTTCCCGTCATGATCATGGCGCGGGTGGGGCTGTATTATTATTGTATCGGACGGTCAGCGTTATGCCAAGAAAATAGAACCAAGCATGACAGTACGAGTGAGGGAAAGAAAGGGGTGACAAACGAGCACGCTGCTGCGGCATGGAAGTCGGTAAACCGCACACCCTCCTCCGCCAAGCGGTTCAGATTCGGGGTGCGGATCTCGCCGCCATAGCAGCCGATGTCTGAGTAGCCTAGGTCGTCGGCTACGACGACGAGGAAGTTGGGGCGTTTGGGAGCCATGGTGGGGGTGATTGAGATTGTTAACACTTCACTTGGCGTCGAAAGGTGCTGGAGAATGTACAAGGAGGTTTGAGCAGCAACCAGCATAGGTGACGGGCGAGCTCAATTTAAAGGCAGTCAGTCGTCTGCATCCCCGCACTGTTGCCATGCGCCGTGTATACATGCACTGCCTGCGTCGTCTATCGGGAGTCGCCTGATAAGCAGCATGATCGGCGGGGATTGCGTCGCCTTGGCTAGGTTGTAGCCAATGGCTGCTGCTGACAGCAACCCCGCATCGATTGCGAATTCGGCTCTCGGCTATTTTGCTGCATGGGGTGTGGTTGTCTGTGATCTCCATGATGGAAGGGAAGATGGATGGGAGGTGGTCTGATCAGATGAAATGGAGAACATTGAGTGAGGGGGAAGTAGGTAGATGGTAGTAGGAACAGTAGTACCCAAGTATTTTGCTGCCAGTCTCGGCCGCTCGCCCGATGCGGTGCCTCTGCTTCAACAAGGAGAGTATACAATCACTCGCTCCCATGCTCTACTACTATACGTGGTTAATCAAATACTGTATGTATTTTTACTACTCTCACTACTGCTAAATTGTTTCAGCGGCTGAACTAAGTAGTCTCCAAACAACCTTAGTAGCCATTACGGTGGTTCGTTCATTTTCTCCATACTCACCAGTTGCTTCTACATGTCCCGACCATAGTGGTTCATATCCATCTAATACCAGCAACCACGGATGCCACTGGTGGTAATCTTGCGCTGACCACTTTCATCTGTTCAGCATATGCAGACCACGAGAGCATGAACGGTCATTAGGCAGATAACTATGTCATTCCTTTTTTGGACTACTGGAGGCAAGCTTCTACAAGGCGATAGACATTCTATCAATATTAGGAGTTTCTGTGACCGAAGTGGCCCTGGGCTTGTGACAAACCCCAGCGATGCCGGCAAGGTTACCCAACAATTTATGAATGTAATGGTAAGGTGTGCGGTGCATGTCCGAAAGATCAGGGTTGCAGAACAACACGGTTACTATATGATCTATTGAATTGAACATTGAATCTGCAAAGCATACCTTTGGCCACGGTAAGCTCCACCAGCCGATAATCGCAAGCCCATACTAACCACCAAGACCAGACATAGGACCAAGAATGCGACACTTCCAGACCACTATCTTGGCACACTCATACAGTAAGGAGAACTGTAACCGAAGCTGTAGCTGTAATACTCACGTCACCTATTACCAGATGTGCTCCATGGATCGGATATCCTCACGTGGTAGACACCTGCCAACCAACCACCCACAAACTTAATTCAACAGGGAATCCAGGGTACTGGAACCCCGAGTCCAAAACACCTTGTGGCTGGTAACTGAGCCGCCACGGTGATCCAACAGGATCAGATCCCATGCTGCCAATCCCACAGATATCAGTCACTTGGCCGGATTGTAAGCTTGTGCATATCAGATGATTAGACATTGAAACCCTGCTCATAACACTTCATCTTGTTCGACCACGATTCCAGCATATTAGACTCCATATCGGTCCTCGCGAAAGAATTCCTACTCATCTTAATGAATGAGTGGGTTTACGGAGATGCGATCCGATCCTGAGTCCTGTATCTCACCAAATTGATTACACCTTGCCAGCATACACCCAAACTCAATCCGTGGGAGTGGTACTTTTGTCGCTTATTTCTTCCTCAATTCTCGTATACTGTCATCGTGACGCTCGACAGAGCATCCCCATCTATCCAGAATTGACATCCACTATAATCTACATCTTTATGAGACCACCAGCCCTGATAAGAACATCCAACTGTAAATATATAGTAAGAACAGATCGACGATCACAAGAGCCACCAGTTTGTACTTGTCTACTGCCTTACACAACCCCCAACCCACCCCAAACCAGACCTCGAAACTCCTCCTCCCCTTACCAACCATGCAGAATCCCTCCCAAAACACAGACGTGGAACACCAACCGCCACGCACCACCAACTCACGAACCCGACTCCACCAAAGAAGAAAAGCCCTAAAGAACCATTTTCTTGCTGCATCGAGCGAGTTCGTCGGGACCGTCCTCTTCCTCTGGTTCGCCTTCGCCGGGACGCAAGTAGCCGCCATGACCAGCGCCAGCGCCAGCGCCAGCGACACCATCACCCCGCAGCGCCTACTCTACATCTCCCTGAGCTTCGGCATGTCCCTGCTGGTAGTGGCGTGGGCCTTCTACCGGATCTCCGGCGGGCTCTTCAACCCCGCTGTACGCCCACCCTCACCCCTCACCCCTCACCCGTAGAACACAAACCAAAACCAGACCCTAACAACCCCTGGACCGCGATCACAGGTAACACTCGGCCTCTCCCTGGCGGGGACAATGCCCTGGCTCCGCTGCGCATTTCTGGTGCCCGCCCAGATCCTGGGCGGCATTGTGGCCGCCGCGCTGGTCTCGTGCATGTTCCCGGCGCCGATCGCGGTCGTGCAGACGCGGCTCCACGCCGACACCTCCATCGCGCGGGGCCTCTTCATCGAGATGTTTCTGACCGCGCTGCTGGTGGTCACGATCTTGATGCTGGCGGCGGAGAAGCATAACGCCACGTTCCTGGCGCCCGTGGGCATCGGGCTGGCGCTGTTTGTGGCGGAGTTGGCCGGTAAGCCTCGTGTCCTTCTTTCCCTCCGTTGGTCCCCCCTGCAAGACTGAGGAGACGTGATCTAATGAGTATGGTTGGGTGTTGTGTTGGGCCTAGGAGTCTACTTCACCGGCGGCTCCCTGAACCCGGCCCGCTCGTTCGGCCCCGACGTCGCCGCCGCCAGCTTCCCGGGCTACCACTACATCTACTGGGTCGGGCCGCTGATGGGCGCGCTCCTGGCCGCCGGGTACTATCGCTTCGCGAAGGCGTTCAACTACCCCGAGGCGAATCCGGGGCAGGATGCGACGGAGCCGAAGGAGCAGGAGCACCAGCAGGAGGAAGAGCAGGAGCACCAGTCCTGAGGATGTTGATGTTTGGCTTGGCGGATGCGATCTTGTTGTGCAGGGTTGTCTGTCATAGTTGTCAAGTTTAGAAGGGATTGCACCAAGGGTTGAAGGGGGCTGGGGATGGGGGGTATACTGGTTGGGACTCTGGTATTGTGCAGGTCCTCGTAGTGGTACTGCGATCATGGCGTGGTTCGAGAAGATAGCAGGCTGGTAGACTCGAAGATTCTGTCGCCGTATAGGCTGTAATGACATCTGAAGCATTGCGTGGCCTTTTCTATCCCCGCAGAGCCTGCAAGTGCCATGCAGTGCCATGCAGTGCCATGCTGGCGCGTCTTGTTGATCTCGTGAGCTCGGTGTCTGATCTCGATCCATCTGCCATTATCCGGGGCGGCAATGCCTCCGTAAGTTGTAGCCGGAGGTACTGTACTTCCATGTGTGCCGAGACCGAGGAGAAGTGGGCAAGGTTCTCGCGAAGGCAAAGGCGTGGCTGACACACACGGGGTGACAATGTCAATGGTCTTCGGGATCTGTGTCCAGGAATACAATGAAGCCACAACTTGGAATGGGTTAGCCACTGTGTAAGTTATCCTCGAATCATCAACCAAAATTATCCTGTTCTTCTGTTGTGACAAGTTTCCAGCTGTCCAGTTTGCTTATCAGACACCTACCTACAGTCGCCGTTGAATCCATTCGAGACCACGATATGCGAATGGGGACCTGCGGGCTTGTCGTGGAAGGACCGGTCAACACCAATTGCTGATTTCTCCCTTACACCGATCTGTCTTGATTCGACCCATTATATTGGCACATCAATAGCTTTCTGTAGCCTTCCCTCTTTCTCCAATGAATCGATCCTAGGGTGCTTGGAGATCTACAGATTCCTCTTCGGTGGTGACCCATTCCCACCGTCCGCTACGCGACAACTACGCGACGAATTTCCACCCCGGCACAAGAAACAGCAAATCGACTTTTCAGATTCGAAAAAGCGAATATCAACATCTGTAAAAAGCCCAAGCAAGATCCCAGTCAACAAATCTCGAATTTCAACGCCTTCATCCCATCGCAATCAAATCAATTCAGCTAAATCGTCAAATGAAACTCCACCAAACAAAAAAGAGATCATGCGTTGACATGCTTGGCGCGCCCAGAAGCACCATCCGCGGCTGGCGAGTCCACGTGACCCACGGGACTGGGCCCCCTTGCGGTGCTGGGCACGAGGGAGGAGCGCGTGGTTGGTGAGGCGGAGGTGCGATGGCTGGGAATGCTGTCGCGGCTGCGGCTACCGGGGATTCCTGCGCCCGCAGCCCCAAGACCGGTGGCACTGGAGGACACATTCCCTTCGCCGGCCATGTAAAATCGCTTGAGCGGGCTTTCGCCGCGGGCGGTCGAGCCCAACGCGTCCAGCTCCGTCATCCCTAGTTGGCTCTGCGATTTGATGAACGAGCCGCGGTCGTCGCGCATGGGCTGGTAGCGCAGGTCCGGGTTCTTCGAGAAGATGGCAAAGGCCGAGGTGACGAGCACGAGGACGAGCAGGACCAGCACGAACGCCGCGTTGTACACGAAGAAGATCACCCCCATGACGCCGGTGACGATCCCCGGCTGGTCGAACACCTGCGAGAAGAACAGGAGGAAGATCGCATTCACGAAGTTGATCGCCCCGATCGCGATGTTGTACCCGTTGGTCTTGCGGTCCATCCAGGGGCGCAGGATGCTGATGCCGATCAGCATCAGGGTCTCGATGATGACCAGGGCCACCGTCTGCACGATCGGCGCCTCCTGGCTCAGGCCGATGAACATCGCCTTGAGGATGACGTAGGTCATCGCCGGAACCAGGAAGTAATAGGCCGTCGCGCGGTACTGCACGTACAGGAACCCCAGCTTGTTGAGGCAGCTCTCGTCCGAGTACAGGATGTAGGCCGGGTTGCGATGCATCCCTACCGAGTTGCGCGCGATGAGGATCACCTTGACCGCCGCCCAGCCCAGGGCCCCAATCACGGACAGCAGCATTACGGCGGCCAGGAGGACCTCCGCGGCCGAATCATGCTGCGTGAACTCCCACAGGCAGAGGACGCACATCTGCGGGAACCCGATCTGCACCATCCGGTACAGGATCCCCTTGGAGACGTGGAAGTCGGCGAACTGATCGTGGCGGATCTTGCCGTACCGCGCCAGCAGCTTGGAGGCCGCCTTCAAGGCGCCGACGATGATCATCACGACGGCGACGAAGAAGATGAAGAAAATTAGCCCCGTCAGGAAGATGTTGGTGCCTTCAATGTGGGCCGTGAACCCGACGCGTTTGATGCCGCGGACGACGACCGTGCCGGTTTTCGCGGTCGCCGACTGCCCGTCGGCGCGCTTGAAGAGGCGGACGGCCGCCGCCGTCGCCGCCCCCTCGATCGAGCGTTTCCTGCGCCGCATGACCTCCACCGAGACGGTCGACAGCTCGGAAAGCACCGTGCTCGGCGTGCCGCCCGTGGCGCGCTGGTACCAGGTGCAGATCTTCTCCAGGAAGGTCACCCGGATGATCCCCATGCTCCACTGGAAGTTCTGCGTCCACGCGGCGACGATGGGGGGCATGTGCACGGAGATCATCCCGAACATGGCCTGCGCTTGCATGAACCCGAAGAACGACAGAACGTTGGCGGCGACGTGGGCGGCGGTGTTGGAATTGCCCAGACTGGCCGTGACCGCCGATGCGATCAAGCCAACTCCCGATATGACCGCCGTGGCCCATCCCACACCTTTCTGGTAGACGGTCTTCCCGTTCGACAGGCTCGCTTCGATGCAGGCGATACTCTCCCCGCCGGCGTCGGTGGAATTGATGTAAATGCGAACGGAGGCGTCCAGATCCGGGACGGTGTACGCGATCCCTAATGCCCCGTTAGCTCTCCCGTCAAAGCTAGCACCTCCCCCACGGAGTCCAGCAAAATTGCTGGGTTTTAGGCGGAAACCAACCTGGAATCCTCTTGACGACGTTCTCGGGGATGTCGATGTTGGCGTTCGGGACGTTGATGTTCCCCGCATTCATGGGGCAGAGGCCGGCCAGGTTCATCGTGCACGGGTTCAGGGACTCAGTGGTCAGCTCATAGCCATAAACGTTGACGACAATGTCCGCGGTGACATAGCCGGAGATCGCGGCCACGCCGTCGAAACTGAGGGCGAGGGAGCGGTTGTTGGGGGTGAAGCGGACGCTGAAGTACGTGGCCGTGAAGTTCGGACTGTTCTGGCAGAGACTCAGCGCATTGGATTCGATCAGGCGGGTGGCCGAGACGACGGAGGCGGCCGTACAGGCGATCAGAACGCTAAGAAAACGTGATGACCACCACATTGTCGGTGGAGTGGCGCATCAATGGTGGGGGGTTTTTTCACTTTTCTGGATTAGGAGGTGGTGGTGAGGGGATGAGGGGATAGGGGTAGATAGGGGAACCGGGGAAATCAGATAAAAAGAGCGAACGACTGTGAACGAGAGACGTGGGAGAGTGAGTGCGGAAGTGAGAGTGAGAGAGACCCCAATGATGCCTGATGATCTCGCAATCAATAAAGCCCGCCAGAGAAGAAGAGGCGGGTTAGCGCCCGCTTGTCTTATATGTCTAATAATAGCGGAGTAAGTAGCTTTTTTGGCCAGTGGGCTAGACTCGTGGTTGTTTGTAGGTTAGTCTAGTCTAGTCTAGTGACCAGAGATGACTCTGGCGGCAGAAGAAAGCGAGTGGCTATCGGTGGCATTATGCTGGTTACCTAGTATTATCATTACACAACACCCTACCTAGTTTTTAGGGGGAAGAACTTGTCCACTGGGCACATGTAACATCACCATTCTGACCGGTCTTTGTTCCGGAACGGTGTAATCCTGCAGCTAATTATTCCGTCATCTGTGAGCAGAGACACTGTGGTGGATACGACCCTATGTAGTCCGTACTGTGTCTGGAGCACAAATGGTCTATGATCAGGTAATCAGATCTGATCCAGGAACATCCACCTGCTAACTTGATTATAAGAGAACATTCATTCACTCAATCAGAGGAACTGCCAACAACCGCCGATCCTCAGGCAGTCCCTGATCCACGTGATCCACCTGTCAGGGTCACGTGTATGTCCCGCGGGTCTCCAGTCTAACTATATCAGGAATTTCCTCGGAAATGTATCGTATCTCGTCCCCCCGACTTGCTCCAGGGAAGCACAAGAAAAGCGCTAAGGTATTCAAATTCGGTCTAGAATTGTGCTTATTCATTAAGTGTTACTTTTATGTCCTTTTTTAGAAATGCCCCATGAGAATCCCGATCAATCGTACAAATCATGTCTGACGCCTAAGCACGGCTCAGGCTCTCACCCTCCTCGGCCTTCTGGAGACCGTACTTCTTCAACCGGATGGACTGGATGGCAATGAAGCCAGTGGTGTCAGTGGGCTCGAAGTCCTCCAGGGAGTCCATCGAGGCCTCCTCGGCGGAGTAGAGCTTCTCGGTGCTGCTGGAGCGACCAAGGATGTAAGTGTGACCCTTGTACAGGCGGACGCGGACCTCGCCGTTGACGCGCTGTGAAAGCAATTAGAACCAACGCCGTGGATATCATTTACATGCTTGCAATCACTCACCTTCTGGCTGAACTTGATGCTGTTCTCGATGAACTCACGCTCGGCACTGAAGTACCTATGGGACAGTTAGTATCATCTGAATATTGCGCGGCAACATCGACTCTTCTCCGAGATACTTACAGGCCATTGTAGAGCTGGATAGACCAGTTGTGGGTGACGAATTGGTCACGCAGAGCACGGACCTGACCGTCAAGGACAAGACCCTCAAGGTCAAGGTGAGCATCGCGCAGGATGGTCATAGCAGGAGCTAGTCGAGAAGGTCAGTAATAGCTCTCAAGCAGATGTAAGGCAGGCGGCCGTACAGTCGTAGCAGCCACGGCTCTTGAGACCGATGAAGCGGTTCTCGACGATATCGATACGGCCAACACCGTGGGTGTAGCCGAGCTTGTTGAGAGCGTAGAAGAGCTCGACGGGGTCGGTGTACTCCTTGCCGGGGGCAACAAGCTTGGTGGGGACACCCTGCTCGAAGTGAATGGTGAGGTCGACGGGCTCGTTGGGAGCAGTGAGGGGGTCGGCGGTCATGGTCCACATGTCGGAGGGAGGGGTCTGGTTGGGGTCCTCCAGGATGCCTTCATGCAAAAAGATCGTTAGCAAAGTCCCTCGTAATATGATCCACAATCACATACCGGCCTCGTAACTGCAGTGGGCAGAGTTGGAGTCTGGGGTGAAGAGTTAGCGATATCCAAGCAACCATGCACAGCAGTCAATCACGAACCCATGGACCAGGGCTTGGCCTATTTGAGATATATTAGCACACTGCTCAAAATCCTGGTCTGGTAGCCGCTGAAGGTGCTCACCTTGGTGGAAGTGACGGGGATGCCGGTCTGAGCGGCGTAGTCAAGAAGATCGTTACGGCCAGCGAAACGCTTGAAGAACTTGGGATCACGCCAGGGGGCAATGATCTTGATGGAGGGCTGGATGGCGTAGAAGGCCAACTCGAAGCGGACCTGGTCGTTACCCTTGCCAGTGGCACCGTGGCTGACGTACTGGCAGCCCTCGCGCTGAGCAGCGCGCATCTGAGCACGGGCAATCACGGGGCGAGCTAAGCTGGTACCGAGAAGGTAGCGGCCCTCGTAGATGGCATTGCACTCTATTGTGAGTTAGCATGCTTCCCCCCACACACAGAACCCGGGGATCATACGAATGGCGGGGAAGCAGAGCTCAGTGATGAACTCGCGCTGGAGATCCTCAATGATCATCTTCTTGGCACCAATCTTCAGGGCCTTGGCCTCAACGGCAGCCCAGTCCTCCTCCTGACCGACATTGGCGAGGAAACAGACGACGTCGTAACCCTCCTCTGGAGTATGTGTTAGTCGGTGACCGATCGAAGCGAATGCAAGTGAGCTATACCGATGAGCCAGCGGAGAATACAGCTGGTGTCAAGACCACCTAAAGAGAAATAATTGTTAGCGAATATGGCTCTTATCTTGGGATCAATTGGCGCAAATTGCGGGGTTGAAAAGACGGGGAGGTGGACGTACCGGAGTAGGCCAGACAGACACGGGGCTTTTCAGAGGCCATTTTGTGTGAGTGTGTGAGAGGGATGAGGGTGGAAGATGAAATGAAGATTGAATTCGGAGAGAGATGAAGAGAAACAACGGAATGTGAAGCCGATTAATATAGGACCGCTAGTTCAATGACTGACTGACGGTCGGGGAGGGAAGAGCTGGTGACTAAGAGTCATTGACTCATCCCGGAGTCGGAGCTCTGGGGCCTTACGTAACTCAAACCCCAATTGTGGGCCAATGACCGGGCATAAGCGAGCACGTCCCTATCTATACTCCTCCCCCAATATCTATGCCATAATCGGTGCAGATAATCGCTGATCCATTCTACACTGGGTATGTTATCGGCATCCTCGAGGGCAACGATCGCCGTCGCTAGCCATTGAAGTTGGCCACCTACCACTGCACTTGCTTCTACTACGTAGCATGATGGATAGTGTCCATTGCACATCCACATTTGATTGTTTAGACTTATTGGACTATTGACTTTTTGATTGACCTTGAGCAGCTACAAGAGTACACATGTACGTCATATCGCCAAAGCGTTGGCGATACATACTATTGTTTGTGATAAAAGTTCGTCATCATATTGAATGGGAAGTCACATTCCCATCCCAGAGAATGCGCTACATGCATTAATTGTTATAAAGAGACCTTATGCTTTTGTTCGCCCCGAAAATGATCCCAAAACCCCAGAACCGCAACGACCCAAAAAAACTATATCTTACAACAACGACCGTAGAACGCCGGTCTGCTCCAGCACAGCCCGACGACTAGTGCCGCCAACTGCATCCTTCAACTCGACAGCACGCTCGTAGTCCAAGCAAGCTTGTACGTCGTCGTCGAAGCGAGCATCAACGGTCTTGAGCTGCTCCAAGGATAAGGTATCCATGGGGACTTGGTGCTTCTCAGCCAGGGCAACAACCCGGCCAGAGATGTGGTGGCCCTCACGGAACGGCACACCCTTGCGGACAAGGTAGTCTGCAATCTCGGTTGCCAGCATCTCAGGGGCAAGAGCGGCAATCATCTTCTCCGGAATTACGGTGAGGGTAGAGAGAACGCCGGTGGCAATCTGAATGCTGTCTCCGACGGTCTTGATGTGATCAAGGAGAGGCTCAACACTCTCCTGCAGATCCTTGTTGTAGGTGGTGGGCAGGCCCTTGATGGTGCACATCAAGCCGGCCATTTGGCCGAAAGCACGGCCAGACTTTCCGCGCAGAAGCTCCAGGCTGTCTATTCATCATTGAGTTAGCATCGTCTAACTTCAAATTATTTATACATAGAAAAGAGCCGACATACCTGCGTTCTTCTTCTGGGGCATCAACGATGAGCCAGTCGAGTATGCGTCCGACAGGCGGACAAATCCGAATTCCAAGCTGCTGTAGATGATGAGATCTTCGGCCCAGCGAGAGATCTTCAACATGAACGAGCTGCCCCACTGCATGGTCTCCATGGCGAAGTCACGGTCTGCCACGGCATTCATCGAGTTGTACAGAAGGCCATCGAAGCCCAGCTCCTTGGCCATAGCCTCACGGTCGATGTGGAAGGGGTTTCCGGCCAAAGCACCAGTACCGAGCGGGCTGCGGTTGACCCGCTTGATGACTTCCCGGAGCCGCTGAAGCTCGCTGGCGAAAGCGGTGGCATGCGACAAGATCCAGTGACTCCAGCGGACAGGCTGGGCCTTCTGCAAGTGGGTGTAGCCGGGCATAATGTACTCGATCTCGGACTCGGCACGGGCAATGGAGACCTTGATGAGATCGCACAGGAACTGGTCAAGCTTGCGGAGTTCATCGCGGAGCCAAAGCCGCATGTCCGTGGCAACCTGCTCATTACGAGACCGACCGGTGTGCAATTTGCCTCCAATCTCCTTGCCGATGATTTCCGACAAGCGACGCTCGTTGGCAGTGTGGATATCCTCATCATTCTCCTTCACGACGAAGGTATTCGTGCTCCATTCCTCAGCGATCTGCTTGAAACCGCGTTCGATCTCGGCGAATTCCTGTTGAGACAGGATACCGGTCTTGGTGTTGGCACGGGCAAAGGCAATGGAGCCGGCGATGTCCTGCTTCCAGAAGATGCGATCGTATGGCAAGGATTCGTTGTACTGTACCATTAGGGGGTCGAGGCCCTCTGTGATGAAGTGAAGCGGAACGCGTTAGTCGGTGCAATTGGAGCCATTGAGGATGGAAAGGGAGACGAACGAGTGAATCGACCACCCCAGAGCATATTTTCAGCAACTTTAGGAGCGCTCATGATGGCAAAGTGTGTGTGTGTGTGTGAAGATGTGATTGACGTGTTGGGAAGAGAGAAGTTGAGTAGCGAGCTGAGGACAGCAGATACTAATAAAGGACGCCAGCCCGGCGAGGGTGGGGAACGGTAGGTATGACTCCTTCGGCTGAATTAGGCAAGTCTGATTCATCGTCCTAGTGCCGGGCCCACGGGAGCGATATCGGCCCGACGAGAGGGGCACCAGACCGGATGCGGCAAGGGCTCTTATCTTCATCACGTGCAGTGAGCGGCCCTTGTTAGGGCTCCGCAGCATCAGTGACTAACTTAGATGTATGCCGAACTTATGTCAGATCAATTGCCCCGGAAGGATGTCTTAGTCCGTCTCTGGTGGAGCCTGGCGATTGCACTACGTACTTGAGTATGTAGATTCAGTCAATTGGAGTATAGATCCTCCGTCGTCATCAATATCGAATACGAATTGATCACTGACAGGGCGTACGCTTACTGGTAAAATCCCCCCTGAAGGCTCAAACACTGTCAAACAGCAAAACCCACCAACCAAGATGGAACCTTGGGGTCAGCACAACACGACATTATAAGACCCGCCGCCCCTCCGCGGGCTTCATCCATGACTCAGTCTCGACTGCAACAGCTCTTTCCCTCATACATACGCTTGATAATTCAACCACCCTCCTACCTTAGAATCTCAATTCACTTCTCAAAGTCTACTCAATCAATCTCCATACTTCTAACCAAAATCATGACATCCTCCTTTCCCCCTCCGCCCGTCAGTTCCATTGACTGGAACAATGTCGGCTTCAAAGTCCGCGATGGTACGTTCATCCCCCAGCAGCGTCATGATCAGTCAATCCCCCGCGCAAGCCCTCAATTGCAATCCCAGCACCAAAACACATCAAACTAACACCCTCGCCCTTCTCTGCACAGTCAACGGTCACATCGAATGCCACTACAACACCAGCACATCGAGTTGGTCGGCGCCGAAATTCATCCCGACCCCGCACCTCAGCATCCACGGCATGGCGCCAGGGCTGAACTACGGGCAGCAAGCGTACGAGGGGCTGAAGGCCTTCCGGCACCCGACCGACACCAACAAGATCACGATCTTCCGGCCGGACCGCAACGCGGTGCGGATGCGCCACTCGGCGGAGTTCATCTCGATCCCGCCGGTGCCGGAGGCCCTGTTCGTGGAAGCGGTGCAGCTGGCCGTGGCGGCCAACGCGGAGTTCGTCCCGCCGCACGAGACGGGCGCCGCCATGTACATCCGGCCGCTGATCTTCGGGTCGTCGGCGCAGCTGGCCCTGACCGCGCCCGAGGAGTACATGTTCGTCGTGTTCGTCATGCCCACGGGCGTCTACCACGGGGTCAGCGCGGTCGATGCGCTCATCCTCGAGGACTTCGACCGCAGCGCCCCCGCCGGCACCGGCTCCGCCAAGGTGGGCGGCAACTATGCGCCGGTGCTGCGGCACAGCGCCAAGGCCTACCGCGAAGGGTTCGGCATCACCTTGCACCTCGACAGTCGGACGCGCTCCGAGGTCGATGAGTTCTCCACCTCCGCGTTCATCGGCGTCAAGAAGGATAAGGCCGATGGCACCGTCACCCTCGTGCAGCCGGACAGCAACAACGCCATCGACTCCGTGACCGCCGCCTCCGTGCTGGAGATCGGCCAGCGCTTGCTCGGGTACAAGTCCGAGAGGCGCCGCGTGCCGTACGAGGAGATCCGGGAGTTCGATGAGGTCATCGCCTGCGGCACGGCGGCCGCCCTCGTGCCCATCCGCAGTATCACGATGCGGTCGAAGAACGACAAGTTTACGTTCCAGAGCGGCGGCGACGCGAACAACGGTGGTGAAGTCTGCGTCAAGCTCCTGCAGACGCTGAAGGGGATCCAGAACGGGAAGGTCGAGGACAAGTTTGGCTGGAACTTGACCGTCGAGAGGCCGCCGCAGGAGCTGTTTGAGATTGCGGCTGCGCCCGAGGAGGCGGAGTCGAACGGTGTCAATGTGCCATAAGTAGGTGTAATGAGATCAAGGACAGGCGACGAGGAAATGCAATTAAAAGTCATTCATTGGTTTGTTCCTAGCATCTTGGCTATTTACTCCCATCACATTAAGAACATGAACCATGCATTGTCGAGATTTACGTTATCATACATGACATTAGATACCCCTAGTTCGATTACTACCACTCTCAGTTTCACTCTCGCTCTCGCTCTCGCTCTCACTTTCACTTTCACTTTCACTGTCGTCTTCGCTGTCACTATCGTCATCGGCTCCGGGTATAGCTGGGGTCTTCGATTGAAGATTCTTGGTAGCCTCTCTCTCTCTAGACTTCTTCTCCTCTTCCAATTCCTTCTTGCGTCTCGCGGCTAATTCTTTCAGTGTGCAACGGGTTGCTTGAGGCACCCCACGGGCGTGGGACCATGTGACAGTCGTAGCTGGGGGTTGGGGCAGCATGGGGGACTTGGACTTGAAAGGCGACGACGCATTGGGCATATGCTTGACGTTTTGCGACGAAGGTGGGGGGCTGTCGTCTTCTTCATCTTCAGACTCTGAGCTTGAGCTTGAGCTTGCATCTGACTCCGACTCGGACTCTGAACTGGATGCAGTGAGGTCGAGCTTGGTAGTGGACGAGCTCTCTTTTGCCTGTGAACTACGGCTTGGAGTCGATGACAAGGACTGCTGCACCCGCTGAGCTGAACCTCCTTGAGCTGGTCGTTGACTTGATCCGCCCTTGAGTTTTGTCGCGCTTTGAGTCCCGGCTGGTGTCGAACGAGGATGCTCGATTTTGTTAGATGGCTGTGTGGCGGGCTTTGCTTTCAAAGGTAGTGTGAGCAAAGACCTCAACGGGCCCAGTTTCTCGATCTTCTGGCGCAAGTCTCGGACCTTATTCTCTAGCTCTTTCCTAGCAGATACATTGCTCTTCCGCCTGCCGAGCTTCTGAAGTGTATTCCATGTTTCCACGAATGCCTTCAACAATTGAATACCTTTATTATCACAACCCTGCTTCGTGGCTTTCTCGAGCGTCTGTCGTGCCTCCGCTGCAAAGATTCTGTATTCGCCTTCGTCAAAGATGGCGTCTTTAGGTTGTTTGGCAATCTCCTTCGCAGTAGACTGGGCTATCACGGGGGGCTTGGTAGAAGCTTTCGTGTTCCGGTCTGCGACCTCTTTCTTGATGGAGCCAGTGCTTGCTGATTTTTGACTAGACACCGGTGCTGGCCCAGACTTGGTCACAATTACATCAGAACTATCCGCAAATGACACTGAGCGACGGCCAGACAGATCGTGAGCGGTATCGTCCTTGCACAAGGTAGAACGGGCTGGTTTGACCGGTGTCGCAAGCTTTGTCGGGGTTTTCTGAGTACGCGAGGGGGATCCGAGACTGTCAACACGCGTTGCCGATTGCTTGCCAGAAGGGCTACTCGTGATGCCCAGCCCAAGACCAGGTTTAGGTGGCGCTCGAGGCGAGCACTCCGCGAAGCTTAGACGTCGCCCAGCACTAGAGAAAGACGGGGCCCGATCGCGGCGGCGTGGCGTCGAGGGACTCGCTTCGGCTTTGCTCGAAGTGCATACAAGGTCATCTTCCATTGCGTGTGGACTCTCAGGCTCCTGTCGTCGCGGCTCTTTGTTCGGCTTCAGGCTTTCCAGGCTCAACTTCCGTTTCCGCAATCCGTTGGGTTGTTCGAGAGTACCATTTAAATCAGCGGTGCCGTTGACATTCGGTTTGTTGTTCCTAGCAGGAGTAGGGACAGACAGGTTTTCTTTCTCAGCTCCAGCTTCGGTCATCGTGATATCCCGTTCTGGGTTTGTTATGCCCTCATCGAGATTCTCCGGTTCACTCTCGTCGATGACAATTTCCATGACCTCGCTTTTATTGTGAGTCTTTTGTTCGCTCTTGGTTCTTTGCGGCGAGCCATGCATAAGCTCTGCTTCCTCCTCAATTATAGAATGCGGCGCAACCACCTGCCTTGAGCCGGTTCTTGTATATGAAAGGTTTGTCTTGAAGGGTCTTGAGCTGCGATGCAAATCGCCCAACTCTTGACTTTCCGCCCGCTTGCGCGGAGGGGTTGGCGCAACAACACGATGCTGCTGTTGTTGGAAAATGGGTTGTTTGGCCACGTGTAGAGGTGATTCGTGAAGATCCTCTGCTTCCACGGAGGAGACAGGAATGTCGCTTGAGCGCACCAAACTTTCATGAGCACTCCATGCCGACGAGGTCGCGCGGTGGCTAGTCGACTCGAAATTGATGGTATCCCGGGGATCTTCATAGATGGTCGGGATTTGACTCATCTCCTTCCGGATGATCTCTTTTTTGATGAGCCTCTGGCGCTCGGCGTCTTCCGCCAGAGCATCCCAGTCGTGAGTGACGGAGGGAAGACGGACAGGTGTGTGTTGTGTAGGCTTCATAATAACACGGACAGTGGCGCGCTGATCCGAGGCGTCCTGACGGGCTTTGCCTTGATTAACGAAGACATCAGCTACAGTCAAGTCTGCGTCGAGATCGTAGGTGTCGTTCTCATCGTCGAGCAGCTTTTTGATCTCGAGGGACCTGGTTACCCAGTATCTGTTAGCACATCCGAGGCACAAGTAGAAGTAGTCAAGCCCGTGCTTTTGCGAGGCCATTGGGCCTCTCTGAGTCAGAGAAGGAAGGCCGTCCGGAACTGGATGGTCTTCAAGTAAAGTATGAACTCACTCAGCATCTGGTCTTCGCTTTTTCCATTTCTCGCGAATGATCTGAGCCAATTCACCAAGATTTGTCTCCTCCGGGCTCTCAAGGACAATCAAGTAACTATCAAGCTCACGATCCCGGAAGTCATGCTTGCCTTGACCTAAGCCATCGCGATCAGTCGAGGACGATGGTGCCTGCAATTGCTCGCGAGCAAAAACTTTAACTCCGAGTCGCAGGAGAACCATGTCGCAGGTTGAGGGTGTTGAGATGTGAGGCGCAAAGATATGAGGGAGGGATGGAGATCAGGAGAATGTTTCGTCTACACGAAGAATTGTAGAGCTGTTTGTCCGTGCATAGGGACTGGTGAGAAAGGTCTTTCGAGTGACTGGGGAAGAGGAAAGGTGAAAGGGCGAGTCGGAGGTCGAAGGATAGGACGAGAGGAAGAGGATGGAAAGTGGTTGGAAAGGGTGGGTGACTAAAAACATAACACAGAGCGATGTGTTATTCGAGTGAAGGGTTCAAGTTTTCATAAGGTTGCTGCGACAAAGTGAAGGGTGGAGGAAGTCCCGCGGGTTGTGCTCGGATTTAATGAACTGTAGCAAAATAAAATAAATTGTGACAGCAACCGATCATTGGTTCGCGGGGCGCAAAATCAACGCGTTTCACCGCCTGGCAGCCACGGGTCCAGTTTCACGAAGTCACGTGTTGATCAAATAATCCAAATCAGGCAATATGACTTGATCTATCCTATAACTAGTTATTAAGCTCAAGGAGGTGGGTCGCCATTATGTATGCTCTTCTGCTGGTCACTCGTTCTATGTACTGGTCCCTAGTCAGCCGAGAATCCTTTCAGTCTCTTGTTGACGCTGATTCAAGTCAAATCATCTGAATGTGTAATGGGATGATGACCTCAAATGCAAATAAATGTACATGGATGGTAAATCGCACCACTTCCGCTTTGCTTCCGCTTCTACTGCAAAAACTTTTCCACGGCACCTCCAATATTCTTCAGATCAAGCAGGAAGGTATCATGCCCGAAATGTGACACATCCTCTCCCAGCTCAATATGCTCAACAGTTTGGTTTCCTGTTGCGCGAAGCGTCTCTGCGATTTCGCGTTGTTGCCAGGCCGGAAAGAGGATATCACTGGCGACGCCAATCACTAAGACTGGGTGATTCTTCAGCGGCGCAAGTCCACGGACCAAATCTTGTGGGGGCGTATCCGGCCCCTTTCCACCATCGGTGACAGCTTGGTCCATAGAAGGCGTTGACGCAGTTTGAGATGGTTGCTCTTCATACGGCTTGGCGGGAAGAGTCAAGCTGCAGGTGATATTGTTTTCTTGAGCATCGCTACCGCCCTCAGCGATCTTAATTTCGTTGGCGGCTCTCCGCTGCTGGGTCTCTGATTGATGGGCATAGCCTAAGTCAAACAAGTCCATGGCTTTCGACACATAAAGCAGACTGTTCGGATCATACTCCAAACAGAATTTCTCTCCGGCATGGTCAAGGTACGTCTCAATTAAGAAATCCGGACAGAGAGCAGGCTGCTTGCTGGGATCTGCGCGCTTGCGTCCGAACCGCATCTCCCATTCGGGACCACTGCGGTATGTCACTGTGGCAATCTCCCGAGCGAGCTTCATTCCCGAATGAGGGGGGACGGAATCATAGTAGAAGCCTCGGGCCCATTTCGGATCCATCATCAGCACTTGACGTTGTGTGTGCCTCATGGCAATGCTGTAGGGGTGGCTCCGTGCGCATCCGCTAATGCTGACAACTTTGCCAATGCGCTCCGGAAAAAGGACACCGGCAGCAAGACTCTGCATTCCGCCCATACTGGATCCAACAGACGCATACAACTTTTGAATGCCTAGTGAATCCAGAAGGCGGAACTGTGCCCGTACCATATCCTCAATCGTGAGGATGGGGAATCGAGTGGCATATCTCTTGCCGTCGGAAGGATCAATTGTTGAGGGTCCAGTACTTCCGTAACATCCTCCGATAACATTTGTGCAGATAATGAAGTGTTTGTTCGTGTCGAGAGGCCTACCGGGACCGATGAACTTTTCCCACCAGCCCGGCTTCGGGTTAGCTTCGGTGCTGTGTGCGTGACTCGATGCTGAAAGGCCGGTGTGTAACAGAATGGCATTGCTCTTGTCGGCGTTTAATTGACCCCATGTTTCGTACGCGATGTCAAATTCGCGGAGCACACCACCCCAGTCGAGAAGAATCGGATCTTCGCAGTGAAATTGCTCATGGTGGCCAGTGGTGTATGAAGGTTCGGGCCCGGATTCAAGCGACCGCGCGGATAGCTGGGCAGATTTGGCGTCCTGGGCATCGAGGCATGGAAAGGAGAGAGCAGGATTGGACGAGTCTCGTAAATCGGATTGCGCAGTAGCCGGTTGTGACTTGCGCTGAGGAGCTTGATGTAAAGCCCGAGAGTGAAGTAGTGGGCTGATTCGAACAACTGGACGTGTGGTAGTCACTGTTGGGAGGCTGTTGCGCTGAGTCAATGATCGTACGACCCTTGACACTAAAGGAACTGAGGACGCCATTCCTGATGGGTTCAATATGACCCAAAGACGAGCCTCTATACCACAGGGACGTAAAAAATGATAGCGATGCGAATGTCGCGGGATGATCGATCGGTGACTCGGCCGGGTGTTTTAACATATGTCACATGCGGACGTGGCGGCCTCAGGCTGTAATTGTCAGCCATGCACCCATGGCGTCATTTACTGTGCTTCCGATTGGTTCACAGACCAAGCTCGAGCGCATCATATAATCCTACAAGAGCCGATAACGGTTTTGCGATAAGGATACCTAAGTAACTTTACCGGGGATAATTAAAGGTCACTCCGCACCTGCGATGCCTCAGGTATGAGTTTTCACTCATCTCTGCACCATCAGCCCGCATGGTTCGGTTCGCAACTGAGCCACCTGTCGCCGGGTCTGGAGCAGCTTTTGACCCCACAGCCTCAAGCTCCCAGTCTAGACTCCGACCTGTCGCTGCATACGACCCCTGCACGTCCGGCGAAAGTCCCCGCGGGTGATCATCCATACTATTTTGTCGAAGCCCACACCACCGCTTTGATCAACAACAAGCGGTTTATCAGTCACCTCCTTAGGCTGCATTCAGTGCTACGCATGATCGGGGAAGCAGCAGCTTCTCACTTGCGTGTTTTACACGACTTCCGTCACACCATCGATCGCTTGGGGCATACCGGCCTGATCATCTTGCCGGCCAATTGACTGCTTAAGCTTACACTTGAATGACATGGCTGTCTGCAAACACAATGCTCTAGAAACTTTCATCTTCCGAGCATTGTCCCTATAACCTTAATCAACATTCTCCCTATGTCAACCAGGACTTGTCGTAAGGCCATTCACTGTGGGCACTGAGTTGGTGCCGGCAACAGGGCGCGTATGACGTATGACGCACTCGCCGTGAATAGGACTACTGAATTATTGAAGGCTGGACCCTGCGGTCTTTAATCGGCGCTGAAAGGTGACCAGGTCATTCGAAATGTCGCTTGCAGCTGCGGAGCGGACACGCTAGGGCTGGAATGTTGGTTGCGTCTCTTGGCATGTGAGGTATGTGCCCGATTGGGAATACTGCACTCGTTACCTACTGTCTTCGGCTTGGACCATGGAAATGTGCTGATAGGTTGATTAGGCTACTTTCTGAGAGGCTTCAAGATGGAGCGACGGGCCTCGAACTCTTGTACTCGATATTCAACTCAGGACTAAGACGCATACGGGCTTCGATGCTGGGAATATTCCAACTCTTAGATGTTCGACACTACAAGCTATGCTCTTCACTTTCTGACATCATTGTCGGTCTGAATCTTGTTTGAACAAAGCTTATCATCGACATGAAACCACATGCTCTCAGAATCGATCATCACCAAAGCTTAGGTCACGGTTCCTCTGTCGACCCTTTATGGGATAGGATACAGCCGTTTCGAGGTACTGAACCTCGTGGTCCGGGGGCATGACCATTATCGTCCTTACAGCCTTGTACCTGGCATTAATTTGACTTTTCCCCTTGGGGATGACATACACACGACCATGGATTCGATCCATATGATTAGATCGCGGGGTCTATGATTTCCTAATCCAGACATAGAGTGATTGGGGCTATCCGCATGCGACCATGACAAGTCCCCAAGCACAATATAAGATCACTGGACGTCGTCTCTGGCCAGAAAGACGTCTAGCTTCTACTTCGGATCCAGCCTCTAGCCAACACCTCCTCACCACTACAACAAACTAGCCAACCCATCATGAAGCTCTTAGCCCCCATTCTAGCCACCACCTGCCTGGCTAGTAGCGTCCTAGCAGCTCCCCGCAGTGGGCTAGCAGAGCGCATGCAAGCCCGGTCCATGGCTCGTGGTTCGCGTCCCCTACAGCCACACCCTTCAGAATCAGACCCCAAGAGCAACCACCGCGAGGAAGTGGCTTCGTCCCCGAACACATCTCACGTCACATACAGCAGCAATTGGGCCGGCATTGTGCGAGAGGAACCGCCCAGCTCAGGTCCGTACACAGCCGTCAGCGCGACCTTTCAGGTCCCCAAGCCCACCGCTGCAGCCAGCAGCCGCGGCACGCAGGCCGGCTCCGCCTGGGTCGGCATCGACGGCGACACGTACAACGCCGCCATCCTCCAGACTGGGGTGGATTTCTACGTCCAGAACGGCAAGGTCTCCGGCGATGCCTGGTACGAATGGTACCCAGACTACGCGTACGACTTCGATCTCTCCGTGAGCCCTGGGGATACCATCGTGGCCAAGGTCCAGGCCCTCTCGCCCAGCCAGGGGGTGGCCATCATCGAGAACAAGTCCACCGGCCAGAAGGCGACGCAGACGATTTCCGCCCCTGAAGCGACGGCCACCCTGGCGGGCCAGAATGCTGACTGGATCGTCGAGGATTTCCAGGCGGGCGATGAACAGGTTGCGCTCACAGACTTCGGCACGGTCACGTTCACCGGCGCGCAGGCCCAGGGCGGGGGCCAGACCGTGGGTGTCCAGGATGGGACGGTCATTGAGCTGAAGCAGAATGATCAAGTGATGACGGAGGTGGATGTACAGAGCGACACGAAGTTCAGCGTTACCTACATAGGATGATTCCCTAGAGGCTGCTGCATGCTAGCCAGTTCTGTTTCACGTGGCGTTTTTATCTGATGATCCTGGTTGGATGTATTGAGCATAGCTATTGCTTATTTATGAAAGTTCAGGTTTGTTTGGAAAGTCGCTCGACGAGGTGTCCTCTGCAATGCCCGGGATAATGATAAATCATAGTAACCAACATAAGGGCTTGATGCGAGTATATATATACTTGCTCTGCACCTCACTGCGGCTCCGAAGAACCCTAACACCACGAACATCTAAGCAATGCTCTTGATAGCCTCCTCCAACTCCCGCACATTGCCACCCACGACGCGCTTGTCTAGCAGCTTGCCATCCTTGTACAGAACGAAAGTCGGCATGGCGCGGACCTGCAGCTCCTGCGCCACGGAGCGCACCTTGTCTACATCGACCTGGATGAACCGGACGTTGGTGTAGGTCTCGCTCAGCTTGCCGATCTGAGGGGCAACGGCCTTGCAGGGACCGCACCAGGTCGCGAAGAAGTCGACCACGACCGGGCCGGACGAGGTCAGGGCCTTGAAGATGACCGGGCTATTTTGGGTAGAAGGAAATCGAGTTAGTATTCGCAAGATCGCATCTGGGACATTCGCGAGGGTTCGAATGGCGAGAGAGGGGAAGCGCATACTTGTCAACCTCGATGACTTTGCCGTGAGCCATGATGGGTTTATCGGGGAAGAAGCGGCTTTTGATGAGACGGAAAACTAGAGCAGGCAGTGTGGGTTAGCAGGTTGGAGAACTGAGCGAGGAGGGGTGAAGTTTGTACATACGGAACCAGAAGGTGAGTAGGATAATGATACGCGTGAAGTCCATGGTCGGGTGAGGAAAGAGGGAAAAAGAGAGAGTAAGGTACGGACGGATATCGATGGCGCGCGGTGAGAGGACTCGGGGAGGATAAGACGTGATCCAGACAATGCCGCCTCGGCTATCAAGGGAACCGTAGTAGTTCTCCGCGGTGGTGCAGGAGGTACGTTGTTACCTGATTAGATGTTAAAACGCGATCATTCATCTATTAAAGATAGACTTATGCTCTTGAGCTAAGGATCCAGAGAAGACAATAAGAAAACATACACTTACAGGAGGAATCATGGAAGGTGTGCGACTGTCTTGAGCAATGACCGAGCAAGCTCCGGTCTCTTATGGCAGGCGGTGGACTTCTGTATGGCAGAAAGATATCAGCCCCGGCGGTCAAGGACACTTTCGCCCGATTTGACATTAGTCGGCTAATTAGTTATAATTAGTTATGCCCGCATAAAATGACTCAGCCATCACATGTCCGCCTCCCCTCCCCCCCCATACATGCATAGCCACCAGTCACTTTCCACGCAATCCCCTGAAGCAGGATGTTCACCAACTTAGGTCATCTTGTTTTGAATGTCAATTCTTATGGGAGACGCAATGCTATCTGATCTACCTTAACCTCTTTGACAGAGTCTTCGAACCACCATGGCCATCAAGAAAGTGCCAGTCCTCCCTTACCGTCGAGGCTCGGACGCCTCCGAGGCCGACTTCTTCGACATCCCCGACGAACCCTGCTGGGCCATCATCAAGCGGCAGCTGCGACACCTTCGGACCTGGGTCGCCTTTGTCTTCTTCGTCCTCTTTATTCTCTTTCTTCGCAGGGAGAAGCCTCCGCCACCCAAAGTGACCCATATCGATTACAGCCGCGTGGACTGGTCCCGCTACGCTTACAGCCAATATGCCACCTCGAGCCCTTACCTCTGCAACGCCCTGTTGACATTCGATGCCCTTGATCGCCTAGGTAGCAAGGCGCAGCGCGTGCTCTTCTACCCTGAGAACTGGGATGTGATTGTCGAGAGTGATCGGGATCGGGATAGTCAAATGCTGGCGCTGGCGTATGAAAAGTACGGCGCGCTGCTGGTGCCGATTGATGTTCAGATGGTCAAGGCCGGAGCTGGTACGTTTCCTTCATACATGGATGCACGCATGCATAAATCAGCGGTTCCTTCATTCTCCAATCGCTGCTCGAAATAACACAGATAACTCACACTCAAGCCCCCCTTAGGTCCAAGCGAATCCTGGGACAAGAGCACCAGCAAGTTCCTCGCCTTCGGCGAAACCGAATTCGACCGGATCATCCACATCGACTCGGACGCGACCCTCCTCCAGAACATGGACGAGCTATTCTTCCTGCCGTCCGCCCAAGTGGCCATGCCCCGCGCCTACTGGCAGCTCCCGGACACGCGGCAGCTCTCGTCGCTGCTGATCGTGCTCGAGCCGTCCTTCAAGGAGTTCTACGCGCTGACGGCGGCCGGCGAGGCGGTGACGTACGGGCAGGTCAACACGACCGGCACGACGACCGCCCGGTACGACATGGAGCTGATGAACGAGCGGTACGGCGACTCGGCGCTCGTGCTGCCGCACCGCCAGTACGGGCTGATCACGGGCGAGTTCCGCGCCGACGATCACCGCGCCTTCCTGGGCAACGACTGGGAGGCGTGGGACCCCGAGCGCGTCCTCAGCGAGGCCAAGCTCGTGCACTTCTCCGACTGGCCGCTCCCCAAGCCGTGGATCATGTGGCCGCAGGAGTTGCTGGCCGATATGCTGCCCAAGTGCAAGGTCAAGCCCGGGACGCTCCAGGAGAGCGGGTGCAAGGATCGCGAGATTTGGAAGAAGCTGTATGATGATTATCGACGGAGGCGGAGGGTGAGTTCTTCTCCTGCTATCCCCTGCATACATTTACTTGCAAACACATCCCCCAGCCTGGAGCATGTATTTTCGCTAATATAACCTCTTTTCCATGCGCAGGACGTATGCAAGCTCCTCAGCTACCCGGCACCAAACTGGCCCCCACGGGACGTGCCCGAGCCTCCTCCCTCGCAGGAGGAAGCGACTCCACCACTCTCATGATTATCGCGTATACCATTCACGGGCTTTTTTTTTCGGCGCCATCGGGTGTTTCTGTTAGATCGGTGTGGGATACAAGGCATTTTTCTCGTTTCGAAATAGATTGTTGTAATGTAACTCTAAAGCATTTTCTTGTGTGTATACTAGCCGCAGGATGGATCGGGACATATTGAGAATATTGTATATAGAGAAGGACTCGGTAGTCTAGTCACATGTCAATATGAGGTTCAAGCACGTTCCAAAAGCAGCGTGGGGACGTATCTGTAATGCTGAGCAATGTATGTGAGATCTTCGTCGCTGATGCAGGCATTGTCAATCCACAACCTTGAATGTGCTATAAAATTGAGATCAAAGGGAAAGGGTATGAGCGGACTCGGCAGTCAATTGCATAGGTCAATTGACTAAGCTGTAGTCTATGCAAAAAAGCTTCTGTCTCTACGTATGCGGATCGCATGTATTTATTCTACTTTGCCAATGGCAATCCCAGTCACATCACCTGGGAAAGGGTCAGATTTGATGAATAATTTCATTTTGTTAATTAGTTCACCCTGCGCTGTCAAGAGACAGTGGCTAGCCAGTTGAACCGGCACTAAGGGAACATTCAAGGTATGAGAAACGCTCTAAATCTATAACGCCCAGCCCGGAGATATCGTCTATCGTTATGTTGAAATCGCATCATGGCTGTTTATTTCCACACCGTCACGATGATCAATGTATCCCATCCGATGGAGGGATAACAGATGTTGAAAGTGGTAAACCGCAGTAACCAGTGCCGAAAATGAGGGTAAAAAGGGAAAGAAGCTAAAACATGGGTATCACATCGAATCTAAGCAGAATCCTCCACGGGTCCGCAGGTACAGAATAGGTTCTGGTCACCGTAGGCTAGAGAAAAGCGAGTTAGAATGATTGTTCGATGGTAGGGAAGGGACGTTATGAGCTTACCATCATCCACGCGGGTCACCGAAGGCCAGAACTTCTTCTCCACCAGGTACGGCAGAGGGTAGGCCGCGGTCTCCCGGGTGTATGGTCGGGTCCATTCTGTGGAGAGGAGGTCGCGCTGCGTGTGCGGCGCCATCTTCAGGACGTTGCCCTCGCGAGGCTGGGAGCCGCTCTCGACTGCGGCGATCTCCTGGCGGATGGAGATGAGGGCATCGCAGAACCGGTCGAGCTCGGCTTTGCTCTCCGACTCGGTCGGCTCGATCATGAGGGTGTTGGACACGGGCCAGGACATGGTCGGGGCGTGGAAGCCGTAGTCCTGGAGACGCTTGGCGATATCGATCGCCTCGATGCCACAAGTGTCCTTGAACTTGCGGACATCGAGGATGAACTCATGCGCGCAACGGCCGTTCTCGTTCGTGTACAGGATGGGGTAGTGCTCCTTGAGACGGGAAAGGATGTAGTTGGCGTTGAGCAGCGTGATCTTGGTGGCGTGCGTGAGTCCCTTAGCACCCATCATGTTGATGTAGTTGAAAGTGATGGGCAGGATGCTGGCACTACCCCAGGGAGCAGCGCTGATCGGGGGGGATGAAGTCTCGGAGCGCTTGGACTGAAGGTATTCGCTGACCGGGTGAGAGGGCAGGAAGGGCCGCAGGTGCTCGGCAACACCAATGGGACCGACACCGGGACCACCACCGCCATGGGGAATGCAGAAGGTCTTGTGGAGGTTCAGGTGGCACACGTCAGCACCAATCTCTCCCGGGGAGCACAGACCAATCTGGGCATTCATGTTGGCACCATCCATGTAGACCTGTCCACCGTACTTGTGCACAATCTCACAGGCTTCCTTGATACCAGGCTCGTAGACACCAAATGTGCTGGGGTAAGTGATCATAATGGCAGCCAGGTTTTCTTGATGCTTCTCGCATTTAACCTTCAGGTCCTCCAGGTCGAGGTTGCCGGTCTTGGTGTCACATTTGATAGTGACAACGCGCATACCAGCCATGGCCGCACTGGCCGGGTTGGTGCCGTGAGCAGAGACGGGAATCAAGCAGATATCGCGCTTCGACCCCTCGTGGGCCTCCTGGTACTTCTTGATCACACGCAGTCCAGCGAATTCACCCTGCGCGCCAGAGTTCGGCTGCACAGTGACTTCAGCCATACCGGTGATATCGGCAAGTTGCTGCTCCAGATCGTCAATCATCTGCGTGTATCCCTTGGCAACATCGGCGGGCATAAAGGGGTGGATCTGAGAGAACTCCGGCCACGAGACAGGAATCATCTCAGTGGTAGCGTTCAGCTTCATGGTGCAAGAGCCCAGGGGGATCATGGAATGAGCCAGAGACAAATCCTTAGACTCGAGGTGATGAATGTAACGCAGCATTTCGGTTTCCGAGTGGTGGGTGTTGAACACAGGGTGCGTAAGGTATTCCGACGTCCGCTCCAAGCTGGCGGGAACGGTTGCCACGGCGAGTCTCTCTTCCAGAACGACCTCACCCTTGGAGGCATGGTCGGCGAAGATCTGGAGCACAGATCTCACCTCCTCACGTCCAGCAGTCTCGTCCAAAGAGATTCCAACCTTAGTCTCGTTAACGCGACGGAGGTAGAAGTGCTTCTGACGTGCGGCAGACATGATAGCGTCGGCTTCTTGGCTGCTAGGCAGGTCAATAACGACGGTGTCGAAAAGAACGCCGCCATCAGTAGCGTTGGACTTGACAGGAACGTTGTAGCCCAATGCCGCAAGCTGAGCCTGCAATGTAGCGGTCATAGACATGATGCGCTGCGCAATAGCCTTCAAGCCAGTCGGGCCGTGGTAGACAGCATACATGGCGGACATGTTAGCCAGCAGAGCCTGGGCAGTGCAGATGTTACTGGTGGCCTTCTCCCGACGGATGTGCTGCTCTCTGGTTTGAAGGGCCAATCTCAGAGCACGGTTGCCCAGACGGTCCTTAGAGACGCCCACGACACGACCGGGAATCTTGCGCTTATACTTGTCGATACAAGCGAAGAAGGCGGCATGAGGGCCACCGAATCCCATGGGAACACCGAACCTTTGGGCATTTCCGAAAGCGATATCAGCACCAAACTCGCCAGGCGCCTTCAGCAGAGTCAAGGCCAGGAGATCCGTGGCCACACTGAAGGTACCTCCAGCACTGTGAATGGTGTCGCTGAGGGTCTGGAACTCATACACTCCGCCCTCTGTGTCAGGATACTGTGCCAGAACACCAATCAGGTTGTCCCCCTGCTCCTTGACCAGCTTGAAGTCGTCCGCGAGAATATCTCCAACAACCAAGTTGATGCCAAAGCCCTCCGCGCGGGAACGCATCACAGCAATAGTCTGAGGGTGGCAAAGGTTCGAAACCACGTAAGATTTTCCGGGCTTCTTCTGCTTGGCCATGGGCATGGTAGCCAGAGACATGGTCATTGCCTCCGCTGCAGCCGTGGCTTCGTCCAGGACGGAGGCATTGGCGAAGGGCAAGCCAGTGAGATCGGCAGTCAAAGTCTGGAAGTTCAGAAGAGACTCCAAGCGACCTTGACTGATCTCGGGCTGGTAGGGAGTGTAGCTGGTGTACCAAGCGGGGTTCTCGAGGACGTTGCGCAGGATCACCGGGGGAACAATAGTACCATAGTAGCCAGCACCAATGTATGTCTTTCCCGAAACATCGATCTGTTTCCGGTAGGTGTCGAGCAGTTTGAGCATATCTGTCTCACCCAAGCCACCGTGCACACTGTCGCGGTACAATTTGGCGTTGGAGCTCGGAGGCGACACAGACAAGTCCTTCTTGGACAGGATGTCCGCAGGAAGGACCTGCTTCACGAATTCGTCGAGCGAAGCTACTGGAGGATCTAGCGTGGCCAGCATCTCCTTGGCCGCATCGGGAGCGGGACCGATATGGCGTCTGGGAAATGTATCGAGGGGCTGGAAGAGATCGCGAGGGTGAGGATCACCGTGGTCGCCAATGGAGCTGGTGTATACATGACGACGTGCAGAGGACTGTTCGGAGGAGGTAGTGTGGAGAGAACGAAGGATAGGTGTAGATACTCTGCGCGCAGCAATTGACGAAGGAATTGAGCGCACTCGCGTGCGCAGAGCGAGCTGGCGGGAGCCACGCAGGGCACACCAGGACGCAGCCATAGCTACGGTGGTGATAGTGGTGGAGGGAGTATGGAAGTATGTAACAAGGAGAAGGAAGGGAGGGACGGAGGGAAGTATAGGATGATTCAAGTATGACAAGACTCAACACATGAGCCGGCACGAGTAATTGGAAGGATATGAGAAGATGAGAAAGAAGAGAAAGAGAAAAGGGAGATTGAGTTCCCAAAAAAAATTAAATACAAGGGCGCTCAAGAAAGCAAGCGAACGATAAGTTAGTGAATACCTCACTGAATACCGCGGACGATTCGGGACCGTGGCGGGAAACTCGCCTCGCACCCGATATCGCCCTTCAATTCCTCCCCGCAATCCACGATAAGCAAAGCTCCCCCCGATAAGCTTTCATTTCCCGCGGGAAAGTCGCGTCGTATCTCTCTCCCTCTCTCTCTCCCCTTCTTCTCCGCCATCTTCTGATTCCATCCGGGCCATTTGGTGACAATTCGAGGTTTCAAGGCTGGAACTTCAGAAATATCTTTGGCAAACAACCCCGTGAACATTGCTGTTCAACTACTACTCACATACAAAGCTAGAAAAGCATGATTTCATCTAGAGATGTTTTCCTCCGACTTATGATGCAATTGCTCCGAATCACTAAGTTACTTAGTATGTGCTCATACAGAGTTGGTGGCCAATTTTCATAGTCCCACCTCAACCCGCAGCTCCCAGCTCAAGACATGATGATCATCAAGCTGAAGGTGGTGGCAACAGTAGCTGGCTGTAGGTGTACTGTAGAATATGGGATCATCTCGTTTAAGCTCGCATTGGAGGGCATATGCTCTGTCTCCCCGGGACCAAGTTCCTGATAGTGCAAGACTGCCCAGACTGCCCCTTGTCTCCATGTACGCCTCAGGCCATGATCAGGCACACATCTAGCATGTGGGGTACAATCACATGATAGTCGCTTATCAGTCGCAAGGTTTGCACTCCCCACGGATTGCCTTCCCGATTGAGCCTTTCTCAAGGAAGATTTTCTCCCCCTCGGTCAGACAGGTCGTTGCGACAAACACCTCAGCTCGTTCATTTCCTTGCCATTCTCGCCTTTTCTCACAAGTCTGTTCTTTACTGGGGCCACGTGTTGTCAAAATGTCTCCCGTTCCGATCCCCCCTCCGTCCGACGACATCGCGACTCTTCTGCAGTCCGTCACGCCCCCGACGATGCCCCCGCACCGGTCGCACGACCCCTCCAACAACATGAAGCGCAGTGACCCCTTCCAGTTCGGCTCTCGGTACCTGGAGCAAGGAGATGATGTTTTCGAGTTCAACGCATGGGATCACGTGGAGCCCGATGACGAGTTCAAGGCATTCGCTGAGGAACAGTATGCCAAGCAGCGCGACGCTCCAGTATCGGAGTTCGACCGCAACCGCTTCAACGCTGACCCGGCCAAGTGGTGGAACCTCTTCTACAAGAACAACACGTCCAACTTCTTCAAGAACCGCAAATGGCTGCGCCAGGAATTCCCGGTTCTCGACGAAGTGACTCGGGCGAATGCGGGCAAGCAGGTCGTGTTGGAGGTCGGTGCAGGCGCCGGAAACACCGCTTTCCCGCTGCTGGAAAACAATGAAAATGAGGAGTTGATGGTCCATGCTTGTGACTTCTCCAAGACCGCCGTCCAGGTTATTCGTGACAGTCCTAAATACGACACCAAGCACATCACAGCGGACGTGTGGGATGTGAGTGCTACTGGGGACGATTCGCTGCCTCCTAATGTGGCAGAAGGATCGGTTGATGTCGTTGTACTCATCTTCATCTTCTCTGCCTTGGCTCCCAATCAGTGGGAACAGGCTATCCGTAACATCTATCGCGTCCTGAAGCCAGGTGGAAAGATTCTTTTCCGCGATTACGGACGAGGTGATCTCGCTCAGGTCCGATTCAAGAAGGGCCGGTACATGGGCGAGAACTTTTACATTCGGGGCGATGGTACGCGCGTGTATTTTTTTGACCGGGACGAGCTCGAGAAAATGTGGGGTCAGTGGACACCGGAGAAGGGACTGCCCAAGGGACTTGTGGCTGAGGCAGAGAATACCGCCACTGACGAAGCCGCTGCTACTGAAGAGATAACCGCTAGCGAACAGCAAGGCGTCTTCGAAGTGATGAAGTTGGCTGTCGACAACCGACTGATCGTCAATCGTCAGCGCAAGATCAAGATGTATCGTTCCTGGATTCAGGGGCACTTTGTCAAGACAGTCAAAGCTACTGCTGCTGACAGTGAGAAGAACGAGTCTTGATTGTGCATTGCAATCGACTAGAGTGTTACTACACCGCAACCTTTGCGAGATGGTGGCCATTTGATACAGTCATACCGCGCCCACCACATCGGCGTTCACCGTTAGATGAGCAGCTTGGTGGTTCATACTGAGACTAGTATTGTCAGTCACGGACTGTCGATACATATCGGCTCGCAGCCTCTGGGGCTTTCCAGATGCTTCTATCAACCGCGTCAGGTGTGGTATTCGGTTCTCAGTGGTCATGAGATTCGCCTTACTCCAAGATCATTGGCTCCATGGCACCATGTCCGCGCGTGAGAGAATGTTTGTCGTTCTTTCAATTGGCATCACGACTTTTTCCATGGTGGATGCTCTACTAAAGTATTCCATTCTCCAGTTCAGAACTGTACGAAGATACGACCGACACGATCAATCCATTAGATCTAGATTAGTTATATAAAGAGGAATAGAACATCAAACCTGGTATTGGCTCAGCGAATACATTGTCCATAGTTTACATCAGACTTCAGCTTCCTCACCGAATTGATTAGTGTATATAGTGTTTGGTCTTGAGTCACACTGCACTTTTTAAAGTGTGATTGACTTCAGTTCCTTGTCTTGTCGGCTTGCCAAACAGCTTTTGTGTTGCGGGGTGGGACCGAGCTTGGCAGGGGCCGGAACTTGAAGTATATATTTTGAAAATGATGACCGCTGAAGGAGTAGTACTTTGACATGCACCTGTCTAATTCTATGATGACATGCTGCATAGCATATGCTACACGCTATACGACCGTGGGAATAACCACAGAGAGGCATTCCCAGAAAGTTGGTGATGAAAGTGCAACCTCCTTGAAAATGCGACTCCTCGGTTATATGGCAGGGAGAAGGCTATTTGCAGGTGGCGGGTATTTGAATGGCGGGTTAGGATGATCTCCAATTACTTAAACCAGGCACGTCATTTTAATTATGCCACTTGCTGTCACCTTAAATTGTTCTTGCTAATGAACAAGATACACAGTCAATTTTCAACTTCAAGTCGCAATGTCTCGTATGAATGGGTTAGCCCGAAGACTCTATCTTGGCAGGGACCTGCGAGGATCCCTCCGACGTCCAGCCCGCTGCGGCTTCTCCACTACTGCCACACGCCCGTTGATGGAACTGACTGGCTTTACGGAGAACCAACTGACCGTCCGAGATGCCGTATCGGCCGTCTGCGTCAAATTCCCCAACACCTACTGGCAAGAGTGTGATCAGAACGAGCGCGATCCAAAGGAGTTCCACGCCGCCCTCGCTCAGGACGGATGGCTAGGCATTGCGCTACCAGAGGAACTGGGGGGTGCTGGACTCGGTATGGAGAGTTGCTTTTCTACCTTTGGTTGATGGGTTTAATTTACTAACAAAGGGTTGGACAGGCATTTCGGAAGCAACGATGATGATGCAGACCATTACTCAATCGGGCGCAGGTATGGCCGGCGCCCAGGCCATCCACGCTAACGTGTATGCGACACAACCGCTGGCTCGGTTCGGTACGCGTGAGCAGCTGGAGGAGACGATCCCCAAGATCATCAACGGCACGTGGCGGACGTGTTTCGGTGTGACGGAGCCGAACACGGGTCTGGAGACGCTGAAGCTGAAGACGCTGGCGACCAAGATTCCCTCTCGTGATGCCTACTCGGTGACCGGGCAGAAGATCTGGATCACCTGTGCGCAGGTGGCCGCGAAGATGATCCTTCTAGCGCGAACTACACCGCTGGAGGAGGTGACCAAGCCGACCCAGGGCCTGTCGCTGTTCTGCATCGACTTGGACCGCGATCAGTCCGGTCTGGACATGCGCAAGATCAAGAAGATGGGTGGCCGCGCGGTGGACGCTAACGAGGTGTTCTTCGACCAGTATACCATCCCGGCGAAGACGCTGATCGGGCAGGAGAATGACGGGTTCCGCATCATCCTGCACGGCATGAACGCGGAACGGTGTCTGCTGGCCGGCGAGGCCCTGGGATTGGGCTACGCGGCGCTGGAGCGCGCAGCGCAGTACGCCCAGGAGCGAGTCGTCTTTGGCCGGCCGATCGGGCAGAACCAGGGCATCGCGCACCCGCTGGCGGATGCGTACATGAAGCTCGAGGCGGCCAAGCTGGCCACCTACCATGCGGCGCGTCTCTACGATGCATCGCACCAGGACGAGAGCATCCCCGCGCACTCGGTGGGTGTGGCCTGCAACAGTGCGAAGTACCTGGCGGCCGAAGCGGCCTTTACCGCGTGTGAGCGGGCGGTGCTCAGCCACGGTGGAATGGGTTACGCGATGGAGTACGACGTGGAGCGCTACCTACGCGAGTGTCTAGTTCCTCGAATCGCACCGATCAGTCGGGAAATGATCTTGAACTACGTGAGCGAGAAGGTTTTGCAGCTGCCTCGGAGTTATTGAGGGGGGGAGGGCAAACAGATTGAGTTTGTTTACAGTACATATCAGACATATCATAAATTGACGACACGAGAAGGGCTTTGGCCTTTGTGCGGTGACAGGGCCTAGATTTTGTTGTTGCAGGATCTGGCCTGAAGATCGTCGTTTTTTTTTGTTGCTGTCGCGCAGTGTTTGCTGCTCTCGGATGCGGCGCATTGCAGGCATAGTCCTGTTTCCGGCAGTTTGAATAGAAAGCGTTCTCCCAATCGCAGCACTGATTGGTACTGGAACAGAAAAAAAGCAAAAAATGGCGCATTAAAAAAAATTCGAGCTCTCCACTTCTGGAGACAGTGGTAGAAAAACTGTCGGGGTGTTCAGGGAATCTGGAACTAAACTCAGGAACGCACGGTGAGAAAGGCGTTCGAAGAACCAGGGAATTTGCCTGCCATTTGCGGCATTTTCTCCTCCTCCGGTCCTGCTCCGTAAACGATTTTGTCTTTGTCCTTGGTGACGACGGACTCAGCCAGGTATCTATAGTTGGAAAGAAAATAAAAACAATTTCTTTTTCTGCGAGGATGCATTAGTGGAAATTGAGAAAAAGCAAACATACTCAGCTACTTAAAAACAAAAACAAAATGATACAGCAAGGCAGTGATTCGTCAATTGCGGTTGAAGATTGATCCATAACGGCGGCGGCGACCTTCATTTTATTATTTCATTATTTTATTGTTGATTTAATTATCTCTTGATTGATCTAATTTAATTTTTCGGTCTGGGGTCGGCTGTTCCGCCCTTGTCATAGATTGCTTTGCATTGTTCTTTCCGACTTCTACAATACTCCATCATCCATCCATCCATCCATCCATCCTCCTCCTCCCCAATCTTCAACTAAACTAAACTCATCCTGTCCCGGCCTGACTTTCCCCGTTATTCACTAAACAATGCTTAACTTGCTCCATTTGCCCCGACTAGCTGCTATCGTGGGTCTTTGACCTACAGCAGTTCCGCTCTGGCCCTGCGCCTTTTTCTCTCTCTGCCCCCCTTCTTCTCCCCTCGTCGTCACCGATCGGCAGGCAACCGCAGACTCCCATTCCAACCCTCAATCCCCCCCCTCATCCTTTCTTCCCCTCCTCCTGCCTTGTTGTCTCTTGGATCTTCTAGATTCTCTCCGAATTTCTTGACATCTTGACTGACGATCACCCCTCTGATCCGTTTACTTTCCTTTGACGGAGCGAGCTCCGTGCGGTCACACCGCAGGATGTTTTCCTCCATTTTCCGATGGGCGAGCACCGTCACCTCGCGCATTCCCTGGGTGAAGAATTTGCGCCTGAACTATATTCTCTTCCATTATATGTACATCTTCGCTACAATAATCCTCACCTCGGTCATCATCTACCCCGGTACCAGTCTCGCCTACATTGATGCCATCTTTCTCTCTACTAGTGCATCTACCCAGAGCGGCCTCAACACTGTCGACCTGAATACTCTGTACACCTACCAGCAGGTGTTCTTGTACGTGGCGTCTATGCTGACTACCCCCATCTTTATCAACACCGTCCTCGTCTTTGTCCGGCTTTACTGGTTCGAAAAACGCTTCCAGCACGTCGTCCGCGATGCTCGAGCCCTTCGCTACACTCGCTCTCGCCAACGCACTGTGACTGACGACAAGAATGGGGCGAGCTATGATCGAGAGGAAGCGGGCGTGGGGAACCGGCCTATCGTGGTGCTGCGGAATACGTTAGGTCGGGTCCGTTCGCGAGGTCACAGTATCAAGTCTCCCGAGGAGAACAGTTCGCCACCGGAATCGCCAACCACTCGACGAAATGTTGAGAACAACGCGGAAGATGCAGAGGCGACATTCGCGCGGAAGCTAGCGTTTGGGCTGGGAAATGGGGTGGGGAGTCTGCGCGTGCCCGCGCAACTCAGTCCCGAACACCACATCGCATTCTTGGAAAACCAGCGGAGGAATAAAGGGGCCTTGCGGATCCCCAGTCCTCGGGAGTATGATCGGGGTGGTGTGCCGCAGGTGCTGGAAGAAGACGAGAATGTGGAAGCCCCCGCTAAACCCACGGCGAACGACTCCAACGAAGAACGGAGTCCGGGTGATACCAGGGATGGATCCGAGGAGGATGAAGAGGAGGGCAGGAACAAGGATGGGGACGAGGAAGATGATGCTCGGTCCCGCCGGATGGACGGTCCTCATATCACGATCAACGAGCCCGAGATGTTTCGCACGCGGACGAGGAACGAGACTTTTCCCCGCATGGACTCGCGCCCGACATTCAAGGAGACGAAGGAAGATCCGGATATTTCACCACTAGCCAGATCTACAACACGGCGACCCACGTTCAGCAGTGTCTTCCGATCCCTCACACAAGAGCGGGAGCGACCTACGCAGCCTTATCTGAGTTGGAATGCGACTGTCGCTCGTAATTCCAACTTCGTCGATTTGACTGAGGAACAACGAGACGAGTTGGGTGGTATCGAATACCGTGCACTGAAGACCTTGGCGGTAGTGCTAATCTCCTACTATGTGCTGTTCCACCTTTTGGGCATAATTTGCATGGTCCCATGGATTATGACTACTCACTGGGGATCGGTGGTCGAGCAGGATGGCCAGGGCCGTCCTTGGTGGGCCATCTTTGTGGCCCAGTCGGCCTTTAACGATGTGGGCTTCACTCTTACCCCAGACTCGATGGCATCCTTCCAAGGGGCCATCTTCCCACTGTTACTTCTGGGCTTTCTGGTTGTCATCGGAAACACCGGGTTTCCGTGTATGCTGCGGTTCATCATCTGGGTCTCGTCCAAGGTCGTCCGTGCGGAAACACCCTTGTGGGAAGAATTGCGCTTTCTCCTCGATCATCCCCGTCGATGCTTCACCCTCCTCTTTCCCCGGAATGCTACTTGGTGGCTCTTTGCGATTTTGGTGCTGCTGAACGGAATCGACCTGGTCTTCTTCATCATTCTTGACGTGAGTTGTCACTACCACTCAATATTGAATTACACTAACAAGTGTGCTAGCTGAACGACTCGACTGTTACGTCCTTGTCGCCAGGTCTTCGGATCCTAGATGGTCTATTCCAGGCAATCTGCACGCGTACCGCTGGTTTTACGGTTGTCTCGATCTCAGACCTGCACCCCGCGGTACAGGTGTCGTACATGATCATGATGTATATATCCGTGTTTCCAATCGCCATCTCCCTGCGACGCACCAACGTCTACGAGGAGAAGAGTCTAGGGATTTATGGCAATGGGGACGAAGATGAGAGTGATGATACCCAGCAGACGGCACCCAGCTACATCGGTGCTCACTTGCGGAAGCAGCTGAGTTTCGACCTGTGGTATGTATTCCTGGGGCTTTTCATAATCACCATCGTCGAAGGCGGGCGTCTCGAGGCGCAGGATGACTACTCGTTTCAAATCTGGTCAGTGCTGTTTGAGGTTGTGTCCGCGTACGGCACTGTGGGCATGTCCTTGGGATATCCCGGAATCAACGCCTCTTTCTCCGCCGAATTTCACGTGCTTTCCAAACTGGTCATTATGGCCATGCAAATCCGCGGCCGGCACAGAGGTCTGCCGTACGCGTTGGACCGCGCCATTTTGCTACCTTCGGAATCGCTCAACCAGAACGAAATCGCCGACGCGGAGAAGCGTATGCGTCGCCGTGCCTCGAGTCTCAGTCAGATGTCAATCGACCGTGACCGCGATCAAACCCACCCACGGAATCCGCCGGAGCAGAGCGCCACCACGGGCCATGATCCCCGGGATCATTACCCTCGGCACTCGATGCAGGGCGACGGAATCATCCGCCGACACTCGACTCTGCGTTCCCAGCGATCTCAGCGTGTCTAAACCATTATTTCTAAACCATTATATATTGATGAAAGCTTATCATCTGTTCCAAGATATTGTTGGTCCTTATTGAAAGCGATGTGAGCAGGATCCAGCAGTCACTTTATATCGAGCGTCATTCTTAGCGTGTCACTTTCTTTTGTAGGAGCGCGTGTCGAACTTTTCGACTTCTTAATTTATACTCCATGTCGTTTACGGTGTTCATAAAGCAAATGGCGGGGTTTGTACATAACAACTATACGTACACAAGATATCGCTGAGATTGGTGGGAGTGATTGGGCACAGCAGGCTGTGTTTTGAAGACTCCAGCCTCTTTGCATCGTTTCCTTTCTGGATGGACACATCTATGAAGCAATGGGAGGTATATAACCCTACCCACCCTTTTAGTCTTTCTCAACAAGAAAAGAAAGGAAGAAAACCAGTCAAATGATCATTCCTGCATCATTGTGTTGAATCCCGTATATTCTTTGATTCTAATGCCTTTCCAGCCAGCTCTACTATACACGCACGGAAATTATAAAGACTTATCGCAAGGTGACCAACTCCTCCGCACTGGTGGGGTGAATGGCGACGCAGCTATCAAAGTCCTTCTTGGTGGCGCCCATCTTGACGGCGACGCCGAAACCCTGGAGCATCTCGCCGCAGCCCAGACCCAAGATGTGCAGACCCACAACCTTCTCCTCAGGGCCGGCGCAGATGAGCTTGAACTCGGTGGGGTTCTGCTTCTTCTCCTCGGCCGGGTACAGGTCGTAGTACATGGCGGTGAAGCGGGTGTGGTAGACCTTGATCTGGTCGTCGCCGTACTTCTGGCGGGCCTCGGGCTCGGTGAGACCCACGGTGCCGACCTCGGGGTGGGAGAAGACCACGGTGGGGATGTTGTCGTAGGAGAGCTTGGCGGTCTTGAACTCGGGGCCGCCGAAGAGGCGGTTGCCGAGCTGGCGGCCGGCGGCGATGGCGACTGTTGGGGTGTTAGTTTGCTTTGGTCTTTTCTAGGGGGTTGAAAACATACCAGGAGTCAGCTCGGCCTGGCCGGTGACATCACCGATGGCATAGACACCGTCGACGCTGGTGTTCTGGAACTCGTCGACGACGATGTGGCCGTTGTTGTTCAGCTTGACACCGGGGATGTCCAGGTGCAGGTCCTCGACCTCGGGGACGCGGCCGACGGCCCACAGCAGCTCGTTGACCTCGGTCTCGGAGCCGTCGTGGTGGATCAGCTTGAGCAGCTTGTCCTTGCCCTTGCCGTCACGGAGGAGCTGGACCTCCTTGAAGCCCTGGTGGCCCCTGTGGACGTGGATGCCGACAGACTCGTAGCGCTCGGTCATGGTCTTGGAGATCATCGGGTCGAACTTGCGCAGGAACTCCTGGCCGCGGATGTACATGTGGGTCTCGACGCCCACGGCGCCCATCACGCCCGCCAGCTCCACGGCGATGTACCCCGCGCCCACGACGGCGACCTTGGGCGGCAGCTCCTCGATCTCGAAGAACCCGTCGCTGGTGATGCCGTGCTCGGCGCCCTTGATGTCCGGGATGCTGGGCCGCCCGCCCGTCGCAATCAGGATGTGCGGCGCCGTGTACCGCGCCTTGCTGCCGTCCTCCAGCGTCACCTCGATCACCTTGGGCTCCACGAAGCCCGCCCGCCCGTGCACCAAGTCGATCCCCTCGCGGCCCCAGTTGCGCTCGTAGATCCCGTTCAGCCGCTGGATCGTCGCGTCGCGCCGCTCCTTGAAGTACTTGTAGTCGATCTTCACGTCCTCCGGCACCGTGTAGCCGTAGTGCTTCGCCGCGTGCAGGTTCTCGTTGACCGAGGCGAAGTTCCAGGTCATCTTCTTGGGGACACAGCTAGAGATTTGGAAGAGGCCATTAGCTCTGAGCTTTTGACGGACAAGTGGGCATAACTTGAAAACTCACCCAACGTTGACACAGGTACCGCCGGAGCGTCCACTCTCCACGATCAGGGTCTTCGCACCGTACCAGCCGGCGGCGCGACGGCCGCTGCCACTGCCGCCACTTCCACCGCCCAGGACGATGTAGTCGTACTGCTGAACCTCAACGGGAGCCATGGTGTTGGAGTCGGCTGTAGCACCGGTCGAGGAGAATTGACAGGTAAGAGAGGTGAGACGTGCGATGGGGGTGGGAGTAGGTCGCTGAATGGTAGCCAGCACGTTTCGGCGACTGACGACGGCGTTCGAGTGGGAAGCTGTGGTGATGCTTTGGCTGCCGGGTTTGGGCAGAGAAACAACAGCGATCTGAGATGAACGGACGAACGAAGATGAGCCGTGAGAGAGCCGGTTCTTAAGTACCTGAGCTGAGAGGGAACGGAGAGAAGAACAGGTGCGCATTGGGAGGAGTAGGAGAAAGAAGGAGAGGAAGAAGAAGAAGAGGGGGGGGGGGGGGGGAAGAAGTTGAGGTCAGACGCCGAGGTGGAGGGGCAGAAATGGCACTGGCACTGGCACTGGGTGGGGGGGAAGGCCGGCAAAGACCGAGAAAGCAACGGGGCTGTAGCTCTAGTAGTCTATAATTCGTATATAATCACCAATCAGCAAGACACTCGGGCAATTGACAGAGTTATCGCGATAGTAGAAAGTAAGGTATACGAAAAGGCTGCTGGAGGGATGACAATTGGACCATTCAGAATTGTTCTGACGCCATCTGAGCTGCATTAAAACCGGACGGAGGCAATCAAAGCCCCAGTAATTCCCCGACTATCGGCACGGTGCCAATTAGGTAAGCAGATTTTTATCCGGATTATCAATCCACACTGAGCAAGTCAGTCAATTAAACATCAGACTGGTCTGGAATCTGTCTGTCTTTCATCGGCTCTGCACCGGACTAGCACAGAGACCACTACCACAAACCCAGATCACAGGTAGTCAGTCATTATCCCGTGGCGGTGAGATGTCACTTCTCTGCTATCCTACTGTGTAGATACAGTAGACTAGACTCGGCTCACCGCCCGGCTCTATAGCGATACAAGGCGGTGGTCATTCTGCCAGGTACTTCCGTCATCGCCCACCAGCCCGGCTCATTTCTCTAGTCACCACTCACCACTCACCACTCACTCTCACTCTCACCTTTTTCTTGAGTTCGAAGTGCTGGAAGCTCGTTACTAATTTGCGCCTCACTCATCAAAATGGACGGCACTGGATCTGTCGAGTCGCAATGGCTCACCCAGCTGGCAGCCATGCGCCAGGCCATTGCCGATCTGAAGCTTCCCTCAGACCCCGCCAAGGAACCCAGTTACGGAAGTGATCTGGAGCTGGATTTTGAAGATGATTATTCATCGCCCGGAACGATCGACGACGACATCTGGGATATCATCAGCTCAGATGACGAATCCAGCGAGGGATATGATGACTTTGATGACCTCCCATCCGCCCCGCTAACATCGGCATACGACCAGACATGGCTCGAGCAGAAGTGCCAAAGCTTGGCCTCCAACAAACCCGGTCTCGAGGCACACGACATTGCACAGCAGATCACAGCAGCGCTGGCCACCGATAGTGGAGATGACGAACTTCAGATGTCGCTGGCCGAAATCGTCGGATTCGACGATCTGGATTTTGTCATCGACTTGATCGCCCACAGGTCGGATATCATCGCAAATGCGCACTCCCATGCACGCACAGAGGCCCAGACAGATGGTCTGTTCTCTGGTAGACTCCAAACCAGGGCGGAGCGCGAGCAAGCTCTGCGGCAGCAGGACTACGAGCATAAGCATGCGCCGCTGTTGGAGGCACAAACCAGGACTGAACCGCATTATCCTCATGTTTTCAAGATGCACGAATCCAGAAACGTGCTTTCCCTTGGAGGGAAGAGGTATGGGCTGCCGATGGGTAGTAAGCAAATCGAAGAAAAGAAGTACACCGAGATCGAAGTCCCAGCGTCCAAGACGGGCGGCTTGTTTCCCGGTCAGAAGCTGGTGCCAATAGCATCCATGGATGGCCTTTGCCAAGGCACCTTCAGAGGCTACAAGACCTTGAATCGCATGCAGAGTCTGCTCTACGATGTTGCTTATAAGACGAATGAAAACATGCTCATTTGTGCCCCTACTGGTGCTGGTAAAACAGATGCCGCAATGCTAACGATCCTGAACGCTATTGGCAAGAACACTATCCCTAACCCCATCGAGCAGCCAGATGCAACCGAGTTTGCGGTGCAGCTGGAGGACTTCAAGATTATTTATGTGGCCCCAATGAAGGCTTTGGCAGCTGAAGTCACGGAGAAGCTGGGGAAGAGACTGGCTTGGCTGAACATCAAGGTTCGCGAGTTGACGGGTGACATGCAGTTGACCAAGCGAGAGATTGTGGAGACTCAGATCATCGTCACTACTCCTGAAAAATGGGATGTGGTGACCCGAAAGAGCACGGGCGACACGGAACTTGTACAGAAGGTGCGCCTGCTTATCATTGACGAGGTCCACATGCTCCATGACGAGCGTGGTGCCGTCATCGAGTCCTTAGTAGCACGTACACAGCGTCAAGTGGAAAGCACACAGTCTCTCATTCGCATTGTCGGTCTGTCCGCTACGCTGCCCAACTATATCGATGTTGCAGACTTTCTCAAAGTCAACAAAATGGCTGGTCTGTTCTACTTCGATGGATCCTTCCGCCCTGTACCACTAGAGCAACACTTTATTGGTGTTAAAGGGAAGCCTGGCTCTAAGCAGTCGCGTGAGAATATCGATGTCGTAGCCTTTGAGAAGGTCCGCGATATGCTTGAGAGAGGACATCAGGTCATGGTGTTTGTTCATTCACGAAAGGATACTGTCCTAACTGCTCGGATGCTTCGCCAGATGGCCAGTGAAGATGGCTGTGAAGGCCTCTTTAGCTGTCAAGAAGAAGAAGGGTACTCCAACGGCTTGGCAGATGTGAAACGCAGTCGGGCTCGCGAGCTGCGTGAATTGTTCGCGGGTGGACTTGGAACCCATCATGCTGGAATGAGTCGCAGTGACCGTAACCTGATGGAGCGTTTATTTTCCGAAGGACTAATCAAGGTACTTTGTTGTACTGCGACACTCGCGTGGGGTGTCAACCTTCCCGCCGCAGCGGTTGTCATCAAGGGTACCCAGCTCTACAATCCACAGGAGGGTAAATTTGTGGACCTGGGTATCCTCGACGTATTGCAGATCTTTGGTCGTGCTGGTCGTCCCCAATTCCAGGACACTGGTATTGGGTTCATCTGTACCACCCACGATAAACTGAACCACTATATCTCCGCAGTAACGTCGCAGCAGCCGATCGAATCCAGGTTCTCGAGTCGCCTCGTGGACAACCTGAATGCGGAGATCTCACTCGGCACGGTCACTTCAGTCGCAGAAGCTGTGCAATGGCTTGGATATTCGTATCTGTTTGTTCGCATGCTGCGCGAGCCCCGGAATTATGGTATCGACTGGGCCGAGATTCGCGACGATCCGATGCTGGTCCAGAGACGTCGTCAGCTGATCATACAAGCGGCGCTTGTCCTTCAAAAGAGCCAAATGATCATATACAACGAAAAGACGGAGGATCTTAAAGCCAAGGACGTGGGCCGCATAGCAAGCCAGTATTATGTTCTACAGACAAGTATTGAAATCTTCAACAACTTGATGCGACCACGTGCAACTGAAGCTGATGTGCTAAGCATGATTAGCATGAGCGGTGAGTTCGATAACATACAGGCACGTGAGAGCGAGTCAAAAGAACTCAACAGGCTACGAGACGAGGCTATCCAGACAGAAGTAGAGGGTGGAAACGACTCACCCCATGCAAAGACCAACATTTTGCTTCAGTCATACATCTCCCGCGCTAGAATCGAGGACTTTGCTCTGGTGTCGGATACCGGCTATGTGGCGCAAAATGCTGCTCGTATCTGCCGTGCTCTGTTCATGATAGCCCTGAATAGACGCTGGGGTTACCAATGCCAAGTGCTTTTGTCGATGTGTAAATCGATTGAAAAGCAAATGTGGCCTTTTGACCACCCGTTCCATCAGTTTGACCTGCCTCAGCCAATCCTCAGGAACTTGGATGAAAAGCTTCCAACGTCAGCTATTGAATCTTTGAGAGATATGGAAACGGCCGAAATCGGACAGCTGGTCCACAATCATAAGATGGGTAAAACGCTCGCAAAGTTACTGGACAACTTCCCTACGCTAAGCGTCGAAGCCGAGATTGCACCATTGAATCGTGATGTCTTGCGGATTCGTCTTTTGCTCTACCCAGAGTTCAGCTGGAATGATAGACATCATGGAGCCTCGGAATCGTACTGGATCTGGGTGGAGAACTCGGAAACATCCGAGATTTACCACCACGAGTACTTCATTCTGAGCCGGAAGAAGTTGCATGATGAGCACGAATTGAACTTCACAATTCCACTGTCCGATCCGTTGCCTAGCCAGATCTATGTCCGCGCGATCTCGGATCGATGGCTGGGTGCCGAGACGGTCACACCGGTGTCGTTCCAGCATCTCATTCGTCCCGACACCGAGAGCGTGTACACCGATCTACTCAATCTTCAGCCATTGCCTATCTCTGCCTTGAAGAACCCGATTTTGGAAGAGCTCTACGGGCAACGCTTCCAGTTCTTCAACCCTATGCAAACCCAAATCTTCCATCTCTTATATCACACCCCAGCCAATGTTCTGTTAGGCTCCCCTACAGGCAGTGGAAAAACGGTTGCCGCAGAGCTGGCTATGTGGTGGGCGTTTAGAGAGAAGCCTGGCTCCAAGGTCGTGTATATTGCGCCCATGAAAGCGCTTGTGCGTGAGCGAGTTCAGGACTGGAAGAGGCGTCTCACGGCGCCTATGGGTCTCAAGCTGGTAGAGTTGACCGGAGATAATACTCCTGATACTCGGACAATCCGAGACGCGGATATCATCATCACAACTCCTGAGAAATGGGACGGTATCTCGCGTAGTTGGCAGACCAGAGACTACGTGCGTAAGGTGAGCTTGGTGATCATCGACGAGATCCACTTGCTTGGCGGTGATCGAGGACCTATTCTCGAAATTATTGTGTCTCGAATGAACTACATTGCTTCTCAGTCCAAGGGCTCTGTGCGGTTGATGGGTATGTCTACTGCTTGTGCCAACGCTAGCGATCTCGCGAATTGGCTAGGCGTTAAGGAAGGTCTTTATAATTTCCGCCATTCAGTGCGCCCTGTGCCTCTGGAGATTTACATCGATGGATTCCCTGAGCAGCGTGGCTTCTGTCCTCTCATGCAGTCGATGAACAGGCCGACATTCCTTGCAATCAAGAATCACTCGCCTGACAAGCCGGTCATCGTATTTGTCGCTTCTCGTCGACAGACCCGTCTCACTGCTAAGGATCTGATCAACTACTGTGGTATGGAAGATAATCCTCGACGATTTGTCCGTATGTCGGAAGAAGACCTGCAATTGAACCTTACTCGGGTCAAGGATGACGCTTTACGAGAGGCACTTAGCTTTGGAATCGGTCTGCACCATGCTGGTCTGGTTGAATCTGACAGACAACTAGCCGAGGAGCTTTTCGCAAACAACAAGATCCAGATTCTGGTGGCGACAAGTACTCTTGCATGGGGTGTCAACTTGCCTGCGCATCTAGTCGTCGTAAAGGGTACCCAGTTCTTCGATGCCAAGATCGAAGGCTACAGGGATATGGACCTGACGGATGTGTTGCAAATGCTGGGTCGTGCAGGACGTCCGCAGTTCGACACATCTGGCATTGCCCGCATCTTTACGCAGGACGCAAAGAAAGCCTTTTATAAGCACTTTCTGCATACCGGGTTCCCTGTCGAGTCGACTCTGCACAAGGTTCTCGACAATCACTTGGGCGCTGAAGTGTCCGCGGGAACCATCACCACGAAACAGGATGCTCTGGACTACCTGACCTGGACGTTCTTCTTCCGACGTCTTCACAAGAATCCATCGTACTACGGGCTCGAGATTTCGGCTGAGGAGCACAACACCATGGCTGCTCAAGCTATAGCGCAAGAGTTTATGATTGACCTGGTCGATCAGTCCCTCAGCGAGCTCGCCGAATCATCCTGTGTCGCCTTTGACTCGGCTACTGGCGATGTTGACCCCACTCCCTTTGGCAAGATCATGAGTTACTACTACCTCTCGCACAAGACTATCCGCTACTTGATGTCGCATGCCAAACCCAACCCCAGCTTCCACGATGTCCTGAGTTGGATGTGCTCCGCCAGCGAATTCGACGAGCTGCCCGTCCGGCACAACGAAGACCTGATCAATGCCGAATTGGCGAACCACCTACCCCTCTCCGTCGACTCGATGGGCGACTTGCCTCTTTGGGACCCCCATGTGAAAGCCTTTCTCCTCTTGCAGGCGTACATGTCGCGCATTGACCTCCCAATCTCCGATTATGTCGGTGATCAGACCTCCGTCCTCGACCAGGGCATCCGTATCATTCAGGCCTCGATCGACGTCATGGCCGAATTGGGCTACCCGCACGCGTGCCAGATGCTCATGAGCCTCCTCCAGAGCATCAAATCCGCCCGCTGGCCCGAGGACTCGGCCTTGTCGATCCTGCCCGGTGTCGATATCACCAACCCCACCGAGTCCAAGGGCGGCAAGAACAGCAGCAGCAGCCTCCTCCCGCCCACACTCGCCGCTCTCGCCGCCCTCCCCGCCGGCGCCATCTCCTCGCTCGCGCGCAAGCTCACTCTCTCCGCGTCGCAAGCCCAGTTCGCCAAGGCCGCAGCCTACCTCCCCAACCTCGCCGTCTCCATCGCCACCATCACGCCCCGCGGGATCACCGTCTCCATCGTCCGCAAAAATGCCCCCATGGACCGCGACTGCCGGATCTACGCCCCGCGCTTCCCCAAGCCCCAAACCGAGGGATACTTCCTCCTCATCTACAGCGCGAAGCCCGATGGCCAGGACGGGGAGCTGCTAGCCTTGAAACGTGTCTCATGGCAGACCGGTCCGCGCGGAAAGAGGAATGGTCACAACAGCAACACCATTGGCCGTGGCACTGCTGGCCCCTCTGCTAACAGTAGCAGCGGCAGCATTGCCAAGAAACCCAATGAGCGGCAGCAGCAGCAGCAGCAGCAACTCACAGTGCGGTCCTCGGTCAAGTTCCCGGAAAACCCCACCGCGCCTAGCACCAAGCAGGTCAACGTGCGTGTGATTAGCGATTCGTACCCGGGCATGGAATGGACGGTGACCCGGGTGGAGGTTCCGACTAGTGCTGCCGCCGCCACGGGAGCTGAAACGCAGAGTGTGCCGGAATCCACTATCCCTGAGAAGGGCCAAGAGATGATCCCTTAGTCTTTGTTTTGTCATCTGTACATACTTTCTTAGATCTACAGGATTTTTGTTTCTCAACTTTGGGAAAGATCGGTCGGGGTGATACAGTAGATGCTTGGGAACAGAATCATGAATATGACTAGAGTCTCAAGTGCCGTTTTGCTTAGATTTGGGAGGTGTTTCTTGGTTTGTTCGCGTGAAACGCGAGAGCATTAGATTTTCCGATTTGTTAATCAAGTCTAATTTGAGAAGGCTAGGGTCTCGGACCGTGCCTTGGACTGGATACCGAAGTGGGGGTATTTGGGAAATAGAAAGTATGGGGATAAAAATAAATACATGAAGATGGGCGACTGGTCGAACCCCAACATGACTGAAAAGGGCAGATATCGATCTGACAAAAGTAAGAAATGGGATATGTCACATGGAAATGGATGGAAGTAAGCTATCAAAGCATAATAGTATATGCTACCTGCGCTTGTAAAGGAAGGCTGGCTAAGAAATAAAAAAAGAGAGAAGTCATCGAGTCAACTAAAAAAGGAAGATAAATCAAGAGTGACATAGGATCGTAAGAATGGACTAAAGTAAAGCTCGAATGGAGAGAAAACATCAAATGAAGTTGCCGACACGGACGGTTCGAGTAGATCCAGGTCTAGGGCTCAGGTCTCCACCGTCTCGAAGGCGAGGCGGCGGACGAGCGATCCTGGTTTCCACAACCCGATCCGTGGCGGTGGTGTTGGCGCGGTCTAGCCGGGGCCGGATGGGGACGATCATTTGTTTCTTGCCCCTGGAGACGGAGACGGATCGAGCGATGGAGATCTCCTTACCCCTGGAGACGGAGACGGATCGGGCAATGGAGATTTCCACAGTGGGGAGAGGCTTGTTCAGGTCTGACGTGCTGGCGTTCTTCCTCTCGTCGCCGAGTGGGAATCGTCGGGCTGCAATTGGGGTAGTGGTGGCGCTGGTGGTGCTGGTGCTGGCGTGGCTGACTGTGGGAGACCGCGCTGGAAGGTTGGTTCTGCTGCGAGGTGTGTTGGGCGACTTGGCGGATGAGACGAAAGAAAAGGGCGATGACGCTTCGCTTCGGGAATCAGCAGAAGTCCTGATGGGCGGCACTTGCGTGTTGATCGTCAGGGTGGCAGGAGCCTTCGGCCGCGGGATGGCAGGAGGGATGGGAGGCACAGGCTCGCTGGTGGTTGGGGACTTCTTGTTGATGATCTCCCATTCGGGCTCTCGCTCATCAACGTAGCTGCGCACCGGCTTGAGTTTCTGCAGGAGGAGTCTTTCGTCCTCGGAGCTGATAGATGTTGCTGATAGGAACGATGACACGGAACTCTGTTGCTTGTGCGAGGACGGGGAACTATGCACCATGAGAACGAGATGGCTCTTATCCTTAGACACATCCTCTCGATGAGACTCGGCTGATGATGTCTGAGACTTGTGTAATGGGCTAGGGCCACGGGGTATGTTCTGCGATCCCAGGACCTTCGAAGCCTTGCTGACTTGGGTGGCAGGAAACAGTGTGAAGTTCGGAGAATTAGACCGTGAACGCGTTGGTGAGGTCGCCCTTCGACGAGGAGGAACCATTTCTGGCGACGGAGGCGACGGTTGCTGAGACAGTTTGTTAGACGGATCACAGTTAGCAGACATGAGCAACTTACCTTCGCCTCTTCTGTGTCTGCATCATTCAGCGTCTTGCTCCGTCGATTCAACGATGGGGGTCTGTTCTTCTGCAGAACTCCCCCAAACATAACACTGTACCGTTCCAGTTGGATATCAGGAATATCAATCTGGAGTATGGGCATGAAGCTCGAGGATGCATTAATGGTCTGAGATGGCTCATTTATGGCAGCCGTCTGTTCGTGCTTCAGGGCCGTTGGTTCCGGCGTTGGTTCCAGTTCCAGGGATGGCCAAGCTTCGATAGGGCTGGGTTGATCATCGAGCCTGGGGTCGGCCTTCTTATGGACATCCCTGGGTTTGGGCTCCTCCTCGAGTATGGGCTTCTCGTCAAGATTGGGGCTCTCCTCGAGTATCGGTTGGCGTCGGTTAATGGAGACTGCAGAAGCTGGCATTGGCCACTCAGGAGTCGGTTGGACATGATAGAAGGGTTGGTTAGGAACAGGTGCACTCAATGCACTCTTTGCTTTGAATAGTCCTCCGATTTTCTTCCATTTACTTGGTTTGCGCTGTAGCGATGGTCGCACTGGGGCCTCCGGAGGCCTCTCGAACTGCTGCTCTTGCGACATTGCCATTGGCACCTCGACCATGCGGGGGCTTCCTAGTGCGACACCAATCAAGCCGTCTGTTGGCGAGATGATTGGGCTCGTTGGCGAAGTCATGGCATTCGAAGGGGTTGCTGGGATCTGGAAATCAAAACCAGGATTGGCATCCTGCATATGCCTCTGCTGCTGCTCTGCCGTCTTTGGGCGTGCGGAGTCCTGAGGCAAGTTTGCGCTTGGTTCGTGACGTCCGGAATTCTTGCGCGGCCGCGCGTCTGCGTGCTTATGAGCAGGCGAGGAACTAGCCTCTGACTGGCGCAATGTACGCGACCTTCCACGAAAGGTGCCTAGAGCCATGGTGAAAGCTTCGGTTGTAATAGGTTTCCCAGAAATCGAGGATGCTAGCGACGATACAAGGGATTTTGAATGGTCCGTGAGCGCCCTTTAGGTTGAATCAAGCAAAGATAAAAGAGTGGAGGTGGTAATATAAACCGGCAAAGGAGTGACAGGTTAAAGAATGTCGGAGAAGAGAACTTCAAGAACCAGTCATGAAGGCTTGGAAGTAAAATGAATGGACGGCCTTCCAGAAGGCCCGAAACAGTACCACGAAATCGTCACGAAGCCGAAGATTCAGTCATGGTCGGGAGAAAAGGAGGGATGGAGGAGAAGCAGTAAGTTGAGGGAAAGAAAGAAGCGCCAGACAAAGCCGTTGTTCAGGGTGGAGCCTGAGGCCGACGGACGGCGCAACACCTAAATGAAACAAGCGGCAGGGGCTGGTTAGTGTCAGACTGTTTTGTTGGATCCATGGTCAGTCTAGATACTGAATGGGATTTGGACTGAGTAAGATCTGACGAAGCGCCAGAACCCAGTGACCAACGAGAGCGCTGGAAGTAAATTGTCTAGGAGGCGTTACAGGAGCTACGCGGGCGGAAAATGTGTGGCATCTGTGAGCGCCACGGAGGTGCTTATCGCGGGATCTGATTGATTGAGCGTTTGATTACGGCTTCATCCCATGGGCGAGAGGGATCGAGAGAACAAGCTTGGCAGACGCAGGGTTGAGTTCGCAGCTGGACATCGTCCTGGAGTTATTGAGATCTCGGAGCCAATAACATTGTGCCCATCCAGGAGATCTAAGATGCTGATACTTGCAGCAAAGGGGGGTTTGTCACAGATTTCGCGTGGGCGCTACAAGCGAAAGGAGACTGTTTCAGACCAATTCCGTGCTCTCTCGCACGTGCCGTTCGCTCCTGCACAACAGTGGGTATGACAGGCCATGATTGAGTTGTGTCATGTCCATGGGAAGACTATAAGTACGTACGACAAGAATGTCAGATGCAAGTCTGCAGCTGTCAGAGCAACTGACTGACTGACTGCCTGACCAACACACGCTTGTTCCGAGGGCTAATTTCCCTTGTTTCTGCATCTGACGTGGCCCGGTCCCATGACTAAGTCGATCATCTGTGAGGCTCCGTCAACGGGAGCGAATACGGTTCGTAACTCAAGAGAATAGTAGAGTTGCCGGAAGGCTGCAGAGTGCATAATGAAGAGTGCAGTTGATGTTCAACACATGAGCTGGTCTCATGCATTTCGCCACTGCTCATTTGCAAGCCTGCGCTAAGGGGAAAAGTCTCAGTTCTTCGACATCTTTGCGCAGAGACAGAAGAGGCGGTAAGAGCATCGGTGGGACTGAACAGGGTCTAGCATTTGCAAAGGCAGGGAAGCTATTCCGAATTGCCTCGGATTATGGAGACCTAGTGTTGGTCCCTCCACCGCCCCAGGGCTCTCATCCTTGGACTGTTGACAGCCAGCTTGAGTCGGATTCACGCAGGAAGCCTAAATAGATTAGATAGGCAGACAGACCGACAGACAGACAGCTCCAAACCACGGATCAGTCGCGGGTGCAAGAGAGGAATGACGTAGAGGGGGAGCATGAGGGGACAATCAGGGTTCGCACTATTGAGATAGTGAATGGAGGAGAAAGATTAAGCTGGGCAGTAGGAACTAGTGAGTAGTAGAACAAAACCCTATAGAGAACTATAGGAAACAAGAATGATTGAAGCAGTCAATCAGTCAATCAGTCAATCAGTCAATCAGTCAATCAGTCTCATTTTAGTCTGATGGAGCTTGGCGGGGCACATTGAGAACAAGAGAACTGGAAGAGAGGGAGGGAGAGAAAGCGCGCGAGCGACCAACAGAAACCCCCACCTCATCATCTTCTTTTCTGACTAACCCCCCCCCCTCTTCGTCTCCTTTCCCCTCCTTTTCCTCAACCTCCTATCCATCAACTGCTGTACATTACATAGTAGTCAACTTATCATCTTTCCTGGTCCGACTTTTTTCCTTGGACGACCGCCTTCTACCCCCCCCTCCTAACTCTTTCTGCCTTGTGGGAACTTTCCTCCTTTCCTCCTTTCCGTTCTTCTCCCCGACCATCTCCGTCGTTTGTTTATCCCACCACTTCTATCACCACCGTCACCATGGGTCAGCACTCCGCTATCTGGCAAGGTATGCTCAAACGTTCCTCTCCATTAGGGATCTCTATCCTTGCATCTTGCTGCTCACTATCATTTCTGTATCCGATAGCTAATTTCACTCTTGTTTTGATCAGGCTATGTCGATTCCAGGTATATACACCATCCCGCCTCTACCCCGCTTCAAATGCATCCCTATATCGCTCCAGCTCAGCATGTATCCTAACACAACCAACACCTTCCAGCTTGATGGGATCCGGCCAATTCGACAAGGCTGCCATCCTCGCCTATGACTTCTCCGATGTTGAGGCTTCGTCCCCCGGCTTCACGGTATGATTCCACCGCCACCGGGTCGGCGCGCAGTCACCCACCCGGCCATGTTCCCCCTCTTTACCGAATGGAACTCAGAGTTGACCCCGCCGTTTAGATCGCTCCCCAGGAGCTGACCGGTCTCGCCGCCATCTTCAAGGACCCCAGCAGCGCCTTCGCCAACGGTATCATCGTCGGAGGAGAGAAGTTCGTTACCATCAAGGCTGACGAGCGCAGCGTGTACGGCAAGAAGGTATGCTTCCCTCTCCCTGTGCTCATCTTTGAATCCTCCCTCCAAACTCCTGATCCTCTCGCATGGGACCGTCATTTCCGTCCATATCCTGACAGGATGAACTAATCACAATCGAATCACAGGGCAAGGAGGGTATCGTCATCGTCAAGGCCAACTCCTGCGTCTTCGTCGCCCACCACGGCGAGGCCGTCCAGACCACCAACGCCGCCACCGTCGTCGAGAACCTCGCTGACTACATCAACAACCCCCGGTAGATGGGCCGGTGTATACACCTAATCAAAAAGTCTGTCGTTGGGGGCGGGGGTGACAAAGTCAAGGGGGAGCAGTGATAATACTCTGAATGTAGAACACGGTGGTCTCCTTCTCGATTTTGTCTGTTCTTAATCTTCTCCTTTGTTATTTTTCTCCTGTTGTTATATGATATCAGCCACAACGCGTAGATATGTGCAAATATGTGCCACCTTTCATTCTCCCGAGATGATTCTGGTCTAGATGGATGATGCAACCTGTCAGAGCTCTTGCGACATTGTTAGTCCAATGTGCTCCAGTATAGGTAATCATTACTTGATATGAAAACGAATGTCTATATATCCAATAACCGATCTGCGACGAATAAAAAATAAAGAAACCACCCGAAGAGAGAATATTAACAATTACAACATTTAATACACTCCAGCCAGGGTCACATATGCACCTCACCGAAAAATGACTTCCCTCCCTCTTCCGCAACCAGGTACAAGGGACATATCCTTCACCACACCGCAGCAAAAAGTACATGAACCAGTACATTCCACATTTCGTATTCCATGCGCATCATATAAGAAGTAAAAGTCGTAAGAACGGTAAGTAGGCAAGTCTCGTGCTATCGGTTCGTTTTACTCGTTAACATTATATCACGCCTTAGTAGACGGGAGGTTTGTGGGGTTTTTTTCCCGCTTCCCGTGCATGCATGAAACCGGGTTTACGCAAGACACATCCGCAAAAGTCGCTTGACACCTATTGAAGTAGGCTTTGACGACAGTAGAAATCCCGCTTCAAGTTCTTCTCTTCTGGCGCACGGGGAAAAGGATGAGAGCCGGGGCAAGAAAGCTGAAAAGAACCCCAATTTCGAGGATATTATACCGGCAACTCGGCATTCCGCCGGCCGCCGGCCAGCGCCTCCAACGCCGTCCTGATGTACGGCCCCACGACGGGAATGTTCCCCGCGAACTGGCCGATGGTCACCAGGAAGTCGCCGAAGAGAATGAACAGCCCGTACAGCTCGATGATGAAGCCCGTGAGCGGCCAGCGGAGGAGGATGAGCAGGATGCCGGCGACGAAGGCGGCGGTGCCCTTGAGTTTCTGGCGGCGCGAGAAGAAGGCGAAGGTCTTTTCGACGCCGATGATGAGGGTGAGGCCGATGAGGAAGAGGATCTATTTTGTGTTATGGTTAGTTTGGGTTGGCGGGGGGCTGGGCGGAGGAGGAGAGGGTTTTGCGAGACGGAGGAAGGGTGGGGAGAGGAGAAGGAAGAGTCGAACGTACGTTGCCCATGGCGAGTCTGTGAGGGTTGGAGGTTAGCTTTTGTGATGATACATTGTGATTTGAGAGAGCAGGATCGGTGTTTGGGACGTACAGTGAGCGATCAAAGAACATCAGGACTCCGCCGAAGAGGAATAGTGCTCCTGTTGCATGGGGTCAATTGGTCTGGTCTTGGTTGGGTGAGATTGGTCTTGTATGAGCGTACCGGCGGAGCAGAAGATGACTCCTATCTCTGTGGGTTGGAAGACGCTGTGTTAGCCATTATCTCTGCTTCATGGAGCTTGGTTCTGGGAGAGTTGTAGATCGGAGTTGCCGGTTGCGCTTACTCTGGTTGTCGGACAGCCACATGGTTGGCATTTTTGTCTCACTGATGCAGGATTTGTAGGTATTTCGGTGTGTCTGAGGGGATAGTGGTCCTGGTTTGACGGCAAAAAGATTCGAATTGGATGCGCGATGCGAAACTCGAGATGTTGAGTAGATCGACAAACAGATGCTTGCGGAGAGGATCGCGATGTGCGACGGAGATGTCGCGTGCGCGCGGAAACGTCGATCAGAGAGGCCACGAAAGTTGGGCACTCATAGAGGTATGTGAGACTAATTCGAAGGATAGAGTAAAAGCTCGATGCTGTATCGGCCCAATCGCTAGAACACAATCAAATGATTTTCCCCAACAAGTTGAATAAACATTGATGATAGGCGTCCAAAATTCCCCAATTCTGCCACGTTCCTTTCTTGGCGAGATGAGAACTAGTCCCTCTTGGGATGGCGGTCGACTGGCTTCCGCACTTCCACAAAACTCGCGATTTTGCTCTCCTAAATCTTTTCTCTCAGCAATAGTATCGACTCTCCTTTCGAGATCTATTATGGTGTTATGGTCAACACCCCAACAATGCCCATCGGCTGGCTACGTCGGCAATTCGGTTCAATGCCTCTTATGCTGAGGTGATTAATGGATAAATACACCAAAACAACACTTTAATGGTTGATTCCTAGTGCTACTGTTGAACAACACAACATGGACTGACACTGCAGGCACGACGCGTTCGTGCAATCGCTGGGTCCTCTCCTGACCTTCTCCTCATGTATCCTATATTCGTGCCAGCCTATTGCTGAGCGCAACCATACGCCGCGGCGACAGTATCCCCAGTGATGCTGTAACTGACGTTCCCTCCGGTGGAGCGTCGGTACTAGTCGAGTGCTGGTTCTTCCAGCACAGAGGCGAAGATCAAAATCGTATTTTTCATAATACAAGATCACGAATAAGCCGGAGCAGTTCCTTGAACCTGTCTCGAGAGGGGCAGGTGGGTGGAATCGCTTGACTGTGTTGGTCGTACATTATTGTATCTCAAATTCAGACAAGAGTCATAGCGCCTAGCTAGAAACATAACATTAGATCCAACTCTCCATCTGTTCTTTACTCTGCGTAGACCATGCGGGACTTACCCTATATACTCCCATGGTAAAAAAGTAACTCCCAGATATCATAAAGCTCATTTCAGCACAACGTGTGCAGCCCTCAGTTCCAAATAACTCTCCGGAACTCCCTGTCCCAACGTCCGGACCACGCCGAAAACCTCCTTGTCGTGATATCTCAGTCTCGTCTTGGGGTCCGTGTATGGGGCCGGCAGGCCAGTGATGTCGCAGTATCGGGTCTGCTGGGAAGGGTTCAAGGACGGAGCGGACTCGATGTTGGTGTAGGTCACAGTAGGGCCGGAGAAGGCCGCGCGAGCGTTCTTTTCCAGGACCAGCGTGGAGAGGTTCTGCGCGGCTTGCGCGATGTTGGTTCGTGAGCCGCCCTCCGCAGGGGTCTGGCTTCCTTCGGTGCTGGCGGAGGTGGTGGCGGGGAGCGGCGTCGATGCTCCAGAGTTGGTCTGTGTGGCCATCACCGAGGCCTCCTTTCTCGAGCTCTCGGATATGAGCTGTTTGACATTCTTGTTGCGCCGTTGAGAGGGCTTCCAGTGCGGGTTGCGGAATGGACGATGGACGTGCGCGATGTCGAGACGGTCCAGGAGTTGCTGATGTTTCTCGCTGTCTGCAGGTGTCAGAGGAGCCATGATGAAGGCCGTGTCTCAATGCGCTCCGGATTGTTGCTGGTGCAGAGTTGGTGTGGTGGTTTGAGAAGCTGGTTGCCTGGTTGCGAATGTCGGAGTTGATTCTGAGGGAGAGTCCAGAAGTGCGGTCCGGAAGCATGTGCGGATTGACCCAGGCCGTCGTTGTATGGTGGCGCTGGCATCACCACCCCAATACCAGCAATAATCTTTCAGGAGAGGGACTCAGTTTAGATCTTGTACATCGAGGCATTTCGATCCTAGAAACAACTCTTTGCATGAGATCCCCTGTCCCTTCTTGAGATACGCGACGACCAGTATTAGTCACGTGACACGGTGATTGATTTCTTTGGCAAACGGGCAGCAACAAACAAACATCACTACCAAACGATCTCAGTGCGTCTACCTTACAGTATACCACGATGGTAAGCAACCCCAGCCTCAAAGTACAAGTGAATTACGAGAAGTGAGAAGAACTAAAAGTCATGCAGGAAAGTCCTCACGAGCATCAGCAAGCCTTGCTGCTATCTCGCATCATCGGCAATATTGTGTGTTATTCCCTCTAATCAGTCAGAGGTCACGACTGACCAGGCCCAGGAAAAACTCAATGAATCAATCATGGTCATGAACCGCAATCTTCAGGTATTCTCCGCATCCTTTCATGTTTGTCGTCGAGGATGTTGACCGTTGCATTACAGGAGATCAACATCCAGAACATGAATGTTGAGCTTGTAGCGCAGATGTTCAAGAACTACCAGTCCAATGTCCTGTTCCACTTGGAAGGTATAGTAGATTTCGAGTCGGCAACAGCGCCTGCCTGGTTCGACGTTGCTAACTTCTCCTAGCGACGGACAACCTGAAGGAGCCATCCTGAGCTTTTGCCAGCGTTGACTATTGTACTTACGACGACATGATATTCCGTTTCCATTGTTCTAATGAAACCTTCTTCTGGTGAATGAGACTTGTGCTGTTGAGTAAATTATGTAGAAACCCGGACAATTTTCCTTGCTTGTTCTGTATAAAAGGTGTATCCCCATGATCTTGGCATCATGCGGCGCCGGCGGCCGGAAGGTGCAGCGAACCCAACCCAAAGCTCTTGCTTGACTATCTCGTTTATCACCACTTCCGCCGCCGCCTCCAGACTTCTTCTCCCTTCCAAGAAACCATTTTGAGGGAGGACACTCGACATCCTTCATCTTAACCCACCAACTCTTTGTCCAGGCAAAATCGCAATCCGCGACAAATCCCAATGCAACGAACTGCGGTTTTCACCAGAAGCTCTTGAATTGCTAGTCCTGTTAAACCGGGCCCGGTTGGCCCCAGAAGACCACCATGGCCATCACTTCCATTTCAACCGTCCTCCCCACTCGATTTTCAGTCAATTCTTCCGAAAAGACGGCCGCAAAACCGCCACCTCCCACGCCCTATAATGTCCAAGATCACCCGTTCAAAGGGTACCACGCACCCCAGCCTGAAGGCTATGCGAAGAGCTCCGGCACCAGCGCCATCGTTATCGACAATGGTGAGTGAAGAGCACCCTTCTCTTCGGTTGTGAGCCTCGGTGTCTAATCTTATATCATCTACGATCTAGGCTCCAACCTGGTCAAAGCGGGGTGGTCCTTCGACAAGAAGCCGCGCTTCATCATACCCCCCGTAATGAGTCGGTATCGCGATCGGAAACTGAACAAAGCCTGCCAATTCATCGGAAATGACGCTTACGTCGACGCTACGACGCGCGGACAGCTGCGGTATGCGTTTGATCCCGGCTCGAGCGTGGTGGGCAACTGGGACGTGATGGAGGGAGTGCTGGACTACTTGTTTATCAAGCTGGGGGTGGACGGGGGCGCCGACGGAGGCATCGATCGGCCCATCGTTATGACGGAGCCGATCGCGAATCTGAACTATCCGCGACGCAGTAAGTCTGATGGCCGCCTCGTCGTTCTCGGGCGGATGTGATCAAACAGCAATGGGAACTTGTGGTTGCTAATGTGGTTGCAGTGATGAACGAAATCCTCTTCGAATGCTATTCGGCGCCGTCGGTAGCCTACGGCATCGACTCCCTATTCTCCTACCGGTATAACCGTGGCACGGACGGTCTCATCGTCTCCTCATCGCATACGTCCACGCATGTCATTCCCGTGCTGAACAACAAGGCTCTGCTGTCGAACTGCTCGCGCCTGAACTGGGGCGGTCTTCACGCGTCGGAATACCTCCTGAAGCTGATGCGGCTCAAATACCCGACTTTTCCGGCCCGCATGACCGATAACCAGATGCAAGATTTGGTGCACAAGCACTGCTATGTCTCGAAGGACTACGACCAAGAACTAAGCCGGTACCTGGATTGGACGGGGCTGGAGAATCGGGACCACATCGTCCAGTATCCGTATACGGAGCATGTCGTTCCAGAAAAGACGGAGGAGGAGCTGGCGCGCATCGCGGAGCGGAAGAAGGAGAGCGGGCGGAGGTTACAGGAGCAGGCTGCGAAAATGCGCCTGGAAAAGTTGATGAAGAAGGAACAAGAGTTGGAGTACTACAAGGATCTACAGCGGGGGCTAGCGTCCGAGTCGAAGAAGGAGGCCCGACGCATCTTGGAAGCCGAGGACCTGAAAGACGATGCACACCTTGACCGCTTGATCCGCGATCTCGAGCGGTCGATCAAGCGCTCGCGGAATCGTGATCTGGGCATCGAGGAGACGGAAGAACCACAGGAGGAAATGTCATTCCCGCTGCTGGATGTTCCCGACGAGGAGCTCGATGAGGCCGGGCTCAAGGAGAAGCGCCATCAGCGACTGATGAAGTCTAACGTAGAGGCTCGCCAACGCGCCAAGGCCGAGAAGGAACAGGAGAAGGCTCGTCAGGAGGAGGAAGAAAGGCTTGACCGCGAAAAGCGGGAGAATGATTTCGACAATTGGTTGGCTGAGCGAAGGGCTAACCGTCAGGTAATTTATCTACCTACATGCATTGGCACTTTGGCACTGACATGGTCTTATAGAGCCTCCTGCAACGAATCAAAGAACGCGACAGGATGAAGGCTGATCTGGGCAATCGCAAGTCGCTCGCCAGCCAAATGCGCATGAAGACCCTGGCCAACCTCGCCGCGGACGGGCCCAAGAAGAGACGGAGAGGCGGCGATGACGACACCTTCGGCGCCAACGATGAAGACTGGGGTGTCTACCGCACCGTGGCTACCGGCGATCAAAGTGACGAGGAGGAGGAAGAGGATCTCGGCGGTTTGCTTGACGCGGCCGAGAAGGAGCTTCTGGAATACGATCCGGAATTCACGGAGAACCACACGCTGGCGGCGCAATCCGACTGGACCAAGAGCCTGGTGCACGTGTTCTTGCGGGGTCCCTGGCCGTTCGATCCAGAGAGCCAGCGCGAGGCCCATCAAATCCACCTGAACGTGGAGCGGATCCGGGTTCCCGAGGTCGTCTTCAAGCCATCCATCGCCGGCGTCGACCAGGCGGGACTGGTCGAGATCGCCGCCGACATTGTCAACCAGCGCTTCTCGAACCCCGAGGAACAGGCCCGGCTGCTGCGCGATGTTTTCTTCACCGGTGGCAATACGCTCTTCCAAAACTTCGACGAGCGTTTCCGTCACGATTTCCAGGCGTGTCTACCGGCCAACAGCGTGTTGAACGTCCGCCGGGCGGCGGACCCTATCCTAGATGCCTGGAAGGGCGCTGCTCAGTGGGCGTCGGGCTCGGAACTCCGCAAGTCGTCCATTACACGGCAGGAGTACCTCGAAAAGGGCAGCGAATACCTCAAGGTAAGTTTGTGGAGCTTCCCGACGGGAGTGATACAACGGATGATGTGATGTGCATGTATCGAGGCTGACCACGGTCTACAATAGGAACATGATCTGGGTAATGTCACCACGTGGTAGTATACCTAAACACTTGTTGGTTGTTTGTGGGTGTGTTTGTTTACCTTATCGACCTTGTCGATCTAGGATATCCGCTCTACTCCGCTGATTGTCTCTCCGACATGATGTCACCGAGCATCGCCCCGGGGGTTTTCGGATATGACAGCAACCCATAGCATCTCACAGAACCCGAGTTTGCCGTCCTGCCCGTCCCGTGACTGCAATGTTCACCAGCTTTATACTCCAGTATTACTTGGAATGTGAATTTTGTTTTGCGGACGACGAAGCCCCCAAGCACGTGGTGGGGTTAAAGATTTCCAGCTAGTATACAACAAGACAACAAGGCGTCCGGCGTCCAAGCGAGTGCGGATTGAATGGGAGAAAGGGAAAACCAATACCTTACTTGAACCTTCAGAAGGAACCTGTTTTTGAATTTTTGCCATACGTGTGTGTGTGTGCTTTGCTAGAAGTAGAGAGCTCTTGTTATTCCTTGAAACTAGCTTTTCAACCTTTAGAATATTGAAGTCAGTTCAATTTCCAGCAGACTTGTCCTCCATAGGTGTGTGTATGTGGAGTAGTTGGCACGGGTCGATCAGCCTCCCGCCAAGAGATGATTTCCCTTCCTCTTTCTGTCTTTCATAAGGCCCCAGTGCTTTTGCTCAAGTCGATCAAGAATCTTGTCTGTCCGTCCATCGAATGGAAACATCCATCTCTCTGATTCTGCAGATCCAGGAAATCTTTGACCTGCAAGACCGACGCCCGGGCGCGAGAGTTCAATAGCTCTTCGCTTGTGAAGTATGGTAACTTGTAAGATAGTAGGTATACTTTAGACTTTCACCCATTGTCCCAATTGTCCAAGGACAATCAAGTCCAACGGAGTATTGTAACACAAACCCCACCAGCACAAACCACCAACACCAACACCGCCAGCACCAGCAGCATCAGCACCAGATCCCCTCCCCTCCCCCAGATCTCCGAAAATGTAAGGGGGAGGGGACAAAACCAAGTGTGGACGATCCTCGGAACAGAACCCGACGTGGTTCTTTCTGGTTTGAGATGCTGCAGTTGGTTCTGGATAGTGCTTTTCCATCCGAGGACAGCACCAGCATCGAAAGGTAATGGTTCTCCTTAGTGGTAGGATGCCTCTTCCCCCCTCCCCGGGAGCAGCAGTAAAGTAGTCACGAGGTTCGTGAGGTAAGTTAGGTTTGGGGTATGGTGTATGGTGGAGTCTGTATCACGGTGTAACTTATCTATTGTCTTTGTTATTGTTAACTGATGTACTGCAAGTGTTTTGTGACTATGGGATTGGTAGGCTATTGCACAGTGCATGAAGATGGAGGTATGCGTATGTGTATGCATGGGTCAGGGTACCGTCATGCAGATAGGTCGATTCTACAGTACAGTACAGCACATACGGATGAGTCGGTTGGTCGGCTGGGTAGCTGGTCGGTGTGGTTTCCAGAACCTATGTCGACTCGAGTAGTATGTATGAGGTGAGGAAGTGGGTTCAATTCCAGGTCCGAAAAATGAGAGTGAGTATACACAGAAGAGGTTTCCTTATCAGCCTTGTGGGTCTTGGATATCATTCCTCAGTCAGTTGATCAGTCTAGTCTAGTCTGGTCTTCTACTCAGTAGTAAAGAATGAAATCATTCTGGTTGCTGCCGGAGGCATCCGGCAGGATCTGCAGCGCCGTTCGGCTAAGCTCGAAGCTTCGATAGGCATAGGCAGAGGCAGAGGAGGGTAAGGAAAACAACTTGAGTGGAAACTACCTTTTCCTGTTCATCCGCGGGTTGCACGATGGACGTGGCGTGGTTCGGCCACTGGTTCCTGGTTTTTGGTGGTGGTGGTGGTGGTGGTGGTGGTTGCTGTTCTGTTCTGTTGGTTGATGCTCTTGCTGCTCTTGCTGCTGCTGCTGCTGCTGTTGTTGTTTTTGCTGCTTCGAATCTCTGCGGCTGTTTTCCATATCATTTCTATTGCTTTCTCTTGTAGTATCAGAGAAGAGAAATCCATCTCGCTGGTGCTAAGTCTGGGCAGGGCGGAAAGAGCGGCCAGACCATGACGGTAAGATTACCATCGGTACCGGATGCCGGGCGCCAAGCCCTGATGACAGGCCATTTGGCAACCGATATTGAAGCAACTAACTATGAGTTAAGTTACTTCTCGATGATTCAGTCATCACGCAACCTCCTCCCTTGCACCACATCCCCCCCCCCCCATCAGTCCATGTCTCTTGCCGATCAGTGATGTGATGCCAATCGTCTACTGTCAAGCGTTCCCGCTTCGGGCCCCTGCGAAGCTGAGCTGTGATGGTCTTCCCCTCCTCCAATGCTTGTCGTTGGGCAGAAGATGAACAAGGGTACTGGACAAGAATTGGGTTAATCAACCATGTCAACCAACTGACTAGCTAGCTATAGCTGCAACTAGCGCCAACTTGCAAAATCTTTTCCTCATTAAAGGAAAAACATCACCCAATCGCCCAAAGCCTGGACCAAGTTCGGAATCAACTTACTTCATGCAGAAGGGGAACTATGACGCATCTGGGGGAGCCAACACTTTGTCTCTATCTCCCTCCCTCCCACCATCGAACCTTCACACACGGTTCTCTCGGCATCTGGTCTTTGGGGCCAGAACCAGAAGAAGATGGAATCTGTGCAGACCCCGAATTAATGTAAAGAGACAGAAAAAAAAAAAGCTATCACAGCGTAGATGGACCTCTGACGTAAATGCTACGCTTGGGTGTTGACTTGGGGGTCGAAGAGGGATAGACCATGTGCATGTCCCCCTCCTCTTGAGTATAAAAAACCCTGTCCATGTCGCACATCTGATGCCATTCAGGACCAGTCTGTAACCAGTTCGATCACAAAGAATCCAAAGCCACCACTCAAGGCCTTGCCTATCGCGCGCGCGCCCTTTTCTCCCAGCTCTCTCTTTTCCCCAGCCAATTTATAGCAACCCTAGCCCGCCCTCAATCTCAACAGGTCATCTATCTCCTCCTCAGAGTCGAAAAGACAATACAGTATACCGGTATACCGAAGATGTTGCTCTCGACCACCGTGGCGCGTCCCCTGCAGCTGCTCACCCGGTTCATGCAATGGGCCAGCGCAGTCATCGTGATGGGCATCACCTCCTACTTCATCCACCGGGGTCCGCGCGGCCAGCACATCATCTACGATGAGGTTATTGTACGTTTGTTTTCCCTGATCTTCTGAAGTATACACCATTCGACTAACCACCATCTTGTATGGTCCAGTCCACCATCTCCGTAGTCTTCTTCCTCCCGGCCTTCGTCTCGCCGTTCATGCCCCACGCCCTGAGCAAGTTCGTCCTAGCGATTGACGTGATCTTCTCCTACCTGTAAGTTCCCCCTTCCCCTTTCCCCTCCTGTCCCCAAACCTAAGCCCCATACAACCTTCCCCAAAGCAAGCCCAGCCACTAACCTTGACGAAAAATAAGATGGCTCACCTCCTTCATCTTCGCCGCCCAAGACTACAACTGGCACAACTGCGGCGCCAACGCTCCCCCGGGGGCCTCCTGCGCCCTGAAGAAAGCCAACGAGGCCTTCATCTTCCTCACTTTGTACGTGGCCCTTCGCACCTTCCCCTCACCCCCGTTACAGCTCTCGCGCTATCCCCACCCGCCCTAGACTCAAAAGAAAGAAGCGAATACTAACGCCCACCAAAAAGCATCTTCACCTTCTTCGCCATCTTCCTCGAAGTCGGCGCCCTCTGGGCCTACCGCCGCGAGAACGCCGCCCCCGTCCGCGAGAAGAACTCGGGCGGCGCGCACGGCGGGCCCGCGGATGCGCCGCTCGCTGCGTCGGCTTAGCGCCTCCACCGGTTCTTACTTGGTGTGAACTGAATGGGACCTAATCTGGGCAGGAATGTGCTTGCTGGTCTGGGACCACTGTTCATCGGCTAAGGTCCTGAACTATACCGAAGGATGATTGTGTTGCGGGGATCGGCTTTTGTCTCGGGTTTTCTTCGACCCTTGTTGTGATGATACCATGTTCTCAGTCGGCGGGACCTACCTCACGCCCGCCACGACTTGCTACTTTACTTATTTACTAGCTTAATATTGTTGTGGTTGGCAGGAGTTGCATGAGGACTTGGGTTTTATGTTTGTTGGTTGATTGGTGGTTATGGTGATGGTGATGCGGTAATGGATCTAATGATGTTGATGATGATGATGAGGTGGTGGGTGAAGAGTTAGTGGTTATGGTTGTTGTTGTTGTGTTTACCTTTCTCGCTACCACGTTTATAGTTACAGTAATCAACTTAATCTTCCTTTCCTCAACTTTCAGTGCAGTTAGACTGAAATGAAACCCAGCATGTAATTCTTTCTAAAATCGGGAAACAATTGCGACGATGCTCTCCTTTTTAAACTGGACTTGACGTAAATATGCTTCGCTTCATGCAGAGCTGCTCGTATATCTAACTCTATTGAAATCAACTATTCTAACAATCAGCCGCGTCAATAAGCTTGATCCGTCCAGCCATCTAGTCAAAAAACAAACCGAGTCCTGGCATCGTTCGTCAAAACACACCGGGAAAGCCAAGGATCCCTATCCAACACCTCTGTACTTCCTCCCCGGCCGCATAACCGCATACCGGTCCTCATCATCTTCCTCCCCAGCCTTCAGCAACACCACTTTCCCCTCCTCGCCCGCGCCCGCCTGTCCCTCTAATGTGTCTGGCTTCTCTTCTCGAACGATATACCTCGTCTCCGTGGGCCCCTCCTTCGTCAAACCCGCATCTCCAGCAAAAGCCGATGCAGAGGCAGAAGGAGAAGGAGTAGGGGTCCTCCCCGTTGCACCCGCAACAGCCATCATCCCATCCACACTCAGCCAAAACCCCTCCCGCAACCCCCGCGACCATACCACCACCCCCAGGTCCACCACATGCACTGCTACCACCACCGCCAGCACGATGGCGATGGTCCATTCCCACGGCAACCGCGGTCCGGACCCATACAGCTGCCACCGCACGGGACCCTGCAGCGTGGTCTGGACCGTACCATTGCTACCACCACCCCCCTCTGAAGTCGCCCCCTGCAGCACAGCGGAATATGTCCAGTCGAACGAGGTTATCATGTCCGTGAATACCGTGGCAACAACAGCTGCGACCCCGTCCAGGCGCGTATACCCCCGGTTCAGACTGACGAGGTCATCGGCCAGGGTGAGCGCTAGCGAGGTGAGGTTGAGGAGGGCAGGGTCGGACGTGAAGGATTGGAGGTTGGGGAGAATCGCTGTGAACCAGCTGGTGGTTTCGGCGGCGATGGAAGCGTCGGCCTGAGACGTGCTGTTCTTGGGGAGGAGGGCGAGGGCCGGGTTGGGGTTGTTCTCGCCGTAGTCGATGGCGTAGGCGTAGTTACTGGTGCCGGAGTACAGCCATTGACCCAGGGGGATCTGGGCTTGTTGGATCTGGAGCCGGCAGGTGGCACCAGGGAAGGCGTTGCCGCTGTTGTCGTTGTCGGTGGTGACGGGGCCGATGATGAGGGTGATGGTTGCGTTGGAATTGGAGGTGGCTTCCCAGGCCCCTGCGCTGCTACTGCTGCTGGAATTCGAGCGGTCGTTACAAGAGGTAGTAAGGAGGACACCGGGGATGAGGAGAAGCGCGTTCCATCCGGTGGAGTATCGTGCCCAGCTGTGCTTGCTGTGTGCTTTCTGCGCCTCGTACATCTGGATGGCGAGGTCGCCATGCACGGCCATCGATTGGATAACTGCGGAGGACTCAGGAATCCGGATTGCGCTAAAGGCAGGTACGTCGTTATCCCCGAGGGAGCGCCAACCGGGCGCGTTGTTGAAAGTATCGTAAAGAAGGCCCAGGGCTTGGAGGGAGTGATAGGCTGCTAGAGAGTGTGCCTGGAGGGAACGGACTTGTAAGCATCATTCTGGCAGGCAAATGCAAAAAGAAAAAGAAAAGAAAACAAGAAAAAGGCGAATCGTACCATCTCCCAAGAAATAGGCCCTCCGATGCGCACCATATCCCAGGCTTTGCCCCACAGCGACATTCGGCTGACGCTCGCTATCTGGGACGTCTGGTTCGTGAAATAGAATCGATCATCCGGAGGATCCGGCACCACATAACGCGTGTCTGGCCACCAACGGGATTTGGGAATGGCAACAGTGTTCATGGCTGCCCCGAGCAGAAAGAGACAGGTCCCTACCGCCAGTGCACCGCCAAGTCGTAGCCATGCGATACGCTTGCGCACACCAAGTTCGCATCGCTTTTTGAACGCCGAAATGGCAGCCCAGGGACTCTGGTGTTCTTCGTACAGCTCAAATTCTAACAAGCTGGCTCCCTTCTGCCCCTTTCCAGTCATCCATCGGGTGATCAACGTAGTGAAACTGTGCTGGAGAGCCCCTTGGGTGAGAAGCTGCAGAATACTGTTTATCACACCAATGGCGGCGAGCTGGGCATCTTCATCAACAAGAATACCATTTCCGACCGTAAGAGATGCGATGTCATAGCTCTTCCCAACGGCGCCGAGAACGATTGCTCTTTTGATGCCAGTGATTAGTGATAACATGTAGGATGAACGCACAGAGCGCCCGGTAGCTCACGTTATAAGTATGAAAAGGGCCACGACCCGAAGGAACACGATGCGCGTCAGCGTGGCGCCATCGTCATGGAGTTCATAAGCTTCGTCCGTCCCTGGATTTACAAAAAGATGCCTCCACCGCCAGCCCTTTCTCTTCTTGAGCAGTAGTGACGAGGCCGGCTCGGTAGTAGCTGGTTGGCTGGCCTGAGAAGGTCCGCCGCCGCTGCTAGGATCGCCATCGCGACCATTTGCTGTGTTGGAATGAAGACTCTGACGGGTCGAGGACCTATCTACTGTACTAGTCGAGCTGGGTCGAGATGGAGTGACTTCTCCACTGCTGGGAAGAAGGCGCTGATCTTCACTTTGTTCAAGTTGTAGACGACGGGGGCCAGAACGATGGAATTCATCTAGACCAATTTGCGCCTCCGGCAGTGCCATGATCGCGGGACCGGGCCGCAAACATGACAGCGGATGCGGTTCGAGCCGTGTAGGTGGTGGTTCTTATAGTCGGAGCATGCCAAGCTCATTGTACTGGATCCAGGAACGAAGGCTGCATGTCCATTTCGCCTCTGAAGTCGATGTGTGGTTGCCATTGGGTGTAGGCACAAGGCTAGAATTTCGGCGCTGAATCCCTCCCGGAGACTGTTACCTGTTTCGGTAATTCCCCGAAGAAACGACCATAAAGGAGACGCTGTGGCCCGTGAGCCGTCACGACGCTTTGATTGATGGCTCCATCGAAAACCTGGAGAAGATCACTCAGGAGTTGTCGGGCTCTTCGTTGCATAGGTCATATAGTTCACAGTAGCACTGCTGGGTATCGGGACAACTGTCAATTCGTGACACTGTTAGCACTGCATTTCCAGCCAACCAGCCAGGGACATAGCACGTACGCAACTGGTGCTTCTAGAAAAACAATATGCCACAGCATTTCAAAGACAGATCCGACCGCAAAGTTGTCCAGCTCCGTGGTAATCGCCCAATCGCGCATCCGCATGTAATCTTCTTTCGGTCGGCCCCGGATGCGCTCGCGTGAGACCGCAAATTGACCGCAGCAAACGCCTCCGATTTCCGGAGGAATCTGGTCCACAGGCACTCGGAATAGGTCTACATAGATGCTGGTGAAGTTGCGGTACACAATGTTATGGTCGGAAGCCATGTCAGGGTCAAACGGCCGCACGGCCACCGGACAGCCCGGGCGATGATGGCAGCGCAAATTAGCGTATCCCAGCCGCTCCACCGTGCGAAGATTGAGACTGCGGAGCAATGATGGCGAATCCAGGTCCCTGACATCATTATGCCACTGGCTATCACCGCCGTGCATGAACACGCTGATATCGGCCAAATGATCGTAGTTATCGATAATGTGCGTTAAGTAGGCCATGCTCTCGCGGCCCTTATTCGCGGGGAGATCGGCAAATCCGGGTTCTTGGTCGGAAGTATAGATGTATGGCCTCCAGCTATTCAAGACATTAGTAAGTAGGCCTGGTTTCTGTTCGCGTCTAGCTGTCCATGAGCACGGCGTCTGCTTACTGGGGCATGACCCGATAAGCCCAAGAGGTATCCTCTCTTCGAGACTTTGCCACAACCAAAGCCAGAGTTCTGTCCGGGTTCACTGTCGGGTGCCGATCTGCTGGCTGTTAGTAGAGACCTCCAGGCTATGAAATCCTAGGGATGAGGGATGGGTCACCAACGCGAGATTGTGAGAGCTTCATCTCCCATCACGACCAGTAACAGAATCACCAGGAGAATGCAGCAGATGACCAAAAGAGTCCATGTGCGATGTAGCAAAAGTCGTAACGGACCACATGGAGAGGCCGTCATTGTTTCTACTGCAGCGTCCGAAGAATCGTTCAGTCGGAGGTTCGCCCCAGAGGAACCGGTTCCTCGATGGGAAACAGGTGGTGGAGATAAACACAGGTTTCAAACGTGCATGGTTTTATTCTGACGGGTGGTCCGGAAACAAGCAATGTCTCAGGAGGAGTAGATGGGGCCCCAGGAAATAAATCCACGCGTAATGAGCAGATGTCCAAGTCAGCAGGGCCCTTGAGTTGAGAAAAGATAAACAATCGGAGAGAGAGGGAGGGGGGGGAAGAGAAACGGATTACTCCGTAATGCAGAGTGGATTGAAGTGCATTAAATAGCCCCGATGGCAGTGACAAGCTTGGTTGCCATCCGGGTCTAGAACATCGGTATTGTACGGAGTAGACTAAGTGTGAGTTGGTTGGGGGCGGGCGACGCCGCGACGCCCACTCCACTTCCTGGAGTGGAGAGAGAGAGAGAGAGAGAGAGAGAGAGAGAAAGCACTCAAGCTCCGGTCTTACCGTAAGCATAGGGTCTGACGGTCTGTAGATCCCGTCCCGATCGATCCCTTCGTTTTTTTCCTCAGACACATAACCTTTCGCCTTACATCTATCTAGCATAACGAACACGAACAAACAATCTCAGCATCAGCATCATGTCTTCCAGAAATTCCCTACAGATACGTCTACAGTTGACATGGTAAGAGTCTAGAATTCCAGGCTATATATCTAGATTGATTTGCATTGAGAAATACTCTCTACCTCAGATACTTGCGCGTCGGGGCGCTAGTGTCCGTTGAAGTTTCTTCTTCTCTTCCGTCTCTTCCGGTAACGGAAGAGACCCTTCGTTCTTC